GATGTGGACAAACAATCAGAACTTTCTGCTGGAGTTAAACATAATGAAGAAGAGTTAATCTTTTTTTTAAATCCCTTTTCTGCCTTTCAATGTCAGTTTTTGAAGAGGCATCTGGTATGTCCCTGTCTTTTTACAAAGATAATTTTACTCACAGCCTCAAATATTTCATCCATCTATTACTTGCGTTGGAGACTTCTAGCTCTGCTTCCATGATATCCCAGTGAAAGTAAGCCAGTAGAACTACAGGTTAGTGGGTTTTCTTTCTTTTAAACTAGTCCTCTTCTAACTTTATACATCTATTCTAGGATTTTTGCCAATGACAGAAGCTGCTCTGCTTGGCACATTCTGTAACAGCCTTTATCTGTCTCGTCATGTTGGCTCAATTCTCTCTAATTACAGGTTTCCACTCTGCGCTTCAACAGAGATCAAAGTGTCTGATTCTGAATGTAAATCGGCAGATGGCTGCTTCTTATCCTTATAGTCCATGCCGAGTGCGATTGGTAGCCATGTCTATCCACAGTCTTCTGTCTCATGTGTTTTTAATTAATTCTGACACAGATGATCTTCCATGCCAGGATAATAAACTGTCCAGCATCTTCTCTCTTGGCATCCCTCTGCCTCTTTTATCCTCCAACTTTCCCACTATCATGATGTACTCCAGTTTCTCCTTCCCATTACATGATCAAAGAATACATACTGACTCCTTCTGATGTGGGCAATCAGTTCTGTTCATGAATCAGTTTCTTTCAAGTAAAATAAAGGTCCCTTTTCCACGCCTCCAGGCATATTAGGCACATAGGGCTAGACCTATATTTTACAGACCAATCGGCACTCTGTGGGTGCTGTAAACATCACGCCAGCCACCTTTACATCCACAACCGTACCTGTTACCCATTTAAGGTTAGGTCGGCCTGGCAGCTAAGCTTTTTCAGATCCACAGGCGAACATTTAGCCGCAAAATCACGACAGTTTCCAGTTTCTCTCAAAGGTACTTTCATCACTTGTTTATAAAACTAGATCATTGCCACTTCCAAATAACTGTTCACTAATTGTCCAGCTGTCCATGTTTGGCTGTTACATGCACTATATATCTGTGTCACTTGTTACATATTTAAACACAGTTGAGTGCATCTGACCAACAGACTCAAAGGATCTGATCAGACAGTAAACTGCAAATGGTGGCCCAACAGCACACTGTGCTATGAGACTATGGTAATGACAATGTTACCACTGTAATTTCCCTGAAAAATATTCAGCCCTTGAACTTAAAATAAGCTTTTATACAATGTTATTAAAAAATGAGTATTTTGATCATTGACTTGTGTGTCTTCAACGCTTAATTATTGTAAAGCTTATAACGAAATATAGGACATGAATATAACTCCCCCCCCCCCCAAAAAAAAAACAAAAAAAACAAGGAGAGTCACATTAGCACAGTGATTGGTACCCTTGTCCGCCAGCATTGTGTCATGTGTTTGAACACCCAAACAAGCGCAACGTTCACGTTTTGTTTGTATTTGTTATACTGTGAAACTTGCTAATTTACTTTTCGTTCGGATTTATATTTTTTCTTGATATTTACAGCAAATGGAGACTGAAGGTTTATCATTAGCACCATGCATCATATTTTTTTGTCTTCTTTTTGCTGATTATTGAGTCCAGATCAACAACAGGCATCAGCAAATGCAGATAATAAACATTGCAGTTTTTCCTCTGAGTGGACTGTAATTGCAGAAGTATAAGAAAAGAGCAGCTCTCTAATTAGTGCCTCATTAAACCTGTTTTTGGCTCTGTCTACAAGAACTTCAGAGGCTGCCATAGGATTGAAAATGAATGAATACACCACCCTGCCATCCTGAAAGGCATATTTCAAAAGGAGGGAAAATTATATTTCAAAGAGGGTCGGGGCAAGTATAAATTAAACTTCTCCAACATACAACTAACCATACTGACAGTAGTGGTCTTAATAACACAAACTGCAAATGCATTGCAGCATTTGCTCACACAGACACGTATCTACAAAAAAATATTATCAGCGATTTAAATGGAATGCATCAGTTGCAACATACCTCAGTACTGGTGATGTGATTCACATACAATTACAGGAATGTCAGGGGAGAAGGAATTTGCAAAAGTGAGCACATTAATATGTCATAGCATCAATGCAGCAGACTGTATTCAATTCCCAGCAGACCATGGAACTTTCCACCTGGTTCTGACAGTCAGTCTAGCCTTCTAAAAAATGCATACATTTTTCTCTGGGAAGAAAAAAAATCTGTGCGGCAAAGTAGCCGGTCTCAAACTAACTCCCATCAGGGATCTCTTACAAAATGTATGCCCGGTTACACATGGGTGAATGATACAATACATAAATTAAAGACAATTATCTTCTTCTTTACCTCTAGTCCTGTTCCGTCTTGCACATGGTGCAAGCCTTGGTATGTGCTATATAGTGAAAAAAAGTAAAGGACCCTTTTCCACGCCTTTAGATGCATATAGGGCTAGACCTATATTTAACAGACCAATTGGCACAAGATGGGTGATGTAGTCAGCATCACCTCGGCCGCCTTTACTTCCCGGGACTGGACCCAGTAACTACTAAAGGCTGGGTCCACTTGGGAGCCAAAGTCATTTTTGAAAAGTCTGGCACCGCCAGGGAGCAAACCCACGCATCTAGCCGCTCCGCCATGGTGACTCCCATGTGCTATATAGATGCTGGTATTTACAATCTCGCATATTCCATCTATCCAGCACTTGCCTGGTCGACTTCTAGGTCTGCTTCTGTATTGTCTAAATGACTGGGCTTTCTGTGATGCACTGTGTACCATCTGGTGGCAGTCTTGACACATCTCAAAACTGCTGTTTCTTGATGTAGTTTAGTACCGGTTCATCCTGGCTTATTTCTTGATATCGTCATTTGTGATCCTACCTCTTCTAGTTTTGTTTATGATGTGTCGTAGACATTTCATTTCTGCTGTTTTGATTTTTCTTTTGTCATTAATGTCCACATCTTGCACTGGTAGCTCAATGCTGAATAGTGCTCTTCTGATATCAATTGTTAACAGGTTTGTTCAGCAAAACTGGTGATACATCTTTGATTTTCTTTATTACATTAAGATAATTATAACTGTTTAAATGCCAGTTTAGAATGTAAAGTAACATGTTCATTCTGTTTTGATTTGTACCTTTTAATAACAAATTTGATGTTAATGTGGTTCTGTTGCAAAAGCTTCTTCTTCAGCTGACTCAGTTAAGGAGAACATTTACTGTGCTCAAGTTCACAATATGACTGTAACATGAATGTCTTTTAACTTTGCACATCAACTTTCTGAAATGAGTCTTTGCAAGTTTGTTTTCCTGTGTTACTGACCTTCTCCAGCAAGGTAAAGGGGGCCTCTTAGCAGTTACTGCCAATGTGGTGCAATGCATTAGCCTTCAAACACACTTTATTTTAAAGGGTCACAAATTAGGCACACAGGCTCGTCTTACATTCAGCCCTTCCAAACACCCATTTTTCACACAGCAGTTGTATTTTATCAATAAAGCATCTTTTGTTCATATAATAATATGCATATCAAGAAAAAACACAAAAACATGGGTGGTAAAATGCATGCGCACATGCACACTCATCCTCTCACTCACTTACACACCCATATATATACATCTATCCATACATACATACACACAGATACACACACACACATACGTGAATGCATATATGCCTTCACATATTCAAGACTATGATAATTCTTCTTCTTCATTTGCTCTTAAAATGGCAGCTGACACAAGGATTGTGGTCTGTGTGTGATATCTGCGCCTTTCAGCCCAATACTTTTAGGGGTTTCCGTGGTACAGCCATTTGCCTTGTGCTCTGAAGGTCATGGATTCATTTCCCAGCTGTAACGTTCAGTTTATGAGTTCACTTTTTACGGAGATCTCTGGAAACTATTGCCAGAAGGTACAGAGTTTGTGCTCTGCGTGACACTCTCCGCTAGCTGTTCTGCAAGGAGAGACTGAGCCATATGGAACAAAACCCAGTGCAATTAAGTCGATCCTCTCACCTTTAACCTCCAATTTCAGAAAACTTTTAAGCAGTTGCTTTTTACAACATGCTTGTCAGGGAGCAGACCATCTAAGAACCCCCCCCCCCCCCCCCCCCTCCCTCCTCACAAAAATGGAGGATCAGAACTCACAAGGAGAGGCTATGTTGTACAAGTTGGGTCAGCCAGTTCTCTTCCTTATCCCCTTTCTTTCTCTCTTCCATTCCCAGCAAGGTTGTAGGTTGTTTTAAATGGTTTTCCCTGCTGTCCTAGATCAGTGGTTTTCAATGTGAGGGGCATACCCCCCCCCCCAACCCCCAGTAGACCGGGGGGGGGGGGGGGGGTGCAAGAGTAAGTTTTCAGGGGGCAGAGAGAGTCAATTTTGAAAATGACTACATTTGTATTTGTAATAATCTGTTATACTAAAGTTTAAAATATTTATAAAAACTATTGATAAAATAGAGCCACAGACATCTTTGTTCTCATGAGCAGTTTGTACATCTACCTTTAAAAATAGAAGACACCATCAAAACAAAATAGTGTCAGCCATCACACTGATATCTAGACACTACAGTTTGGTGACTTTTTCTTTTGTTATATGACACTGATTTATGTGTATGTTTTTCTTCAAGTTCTTGTTAACAGTGCTTGGGAGTTTTATTTTTGTCGTCCCCTTTTTAATCACATATTTTTAAAGTTATGGGGGGTGGGGGAGGGGTCCTTGCTATATTTAAAAAAAAAAAAAAAAAAAAAAAAAAAAGGGGGGGGGGGGGGGGGGGCGCACATGAAAAAGGCTGAAAACCACTGTCCTAGATTAACTTCTTTGTGCTGTTGCTAAGCTGCCGCCACCCAGAAATATCATAATTGAAAACATCTGAAACTATCAAAGCACCAAATGACAGAGGAGAAACACGACAACCAGTCTGTAGTCACTCAACAAATAGCATCAGGACAAAAGCGCTAGTGTACATGTATTTTGTCAACTCTGCTAGGCAGTTCCACAGCACTGACAGTCAAAGGCCACATTCCACCTAAGATACCCGCCTGTACACTGACTCCTGTCACCACCGCTAATTCTGGATCCACACTAGTGTTGGGCTTTTTATTCATAAACTTGGTCACTAGTTCAATAACACGAGGAATCCTAGTGGATCCTCCTACAAGGACAATTTCATCTACATCCTCATGGGTCATTTCAGTCCTTTCTAGAACCTTTTCAATTGGAATAAGAACTTTATTAAACAGATCAGCATTTAAATCTTCAAACAGTTGTCTGGTAACAGTCTCTTGGAAAAGTGTATTTCCCAATGAATGAAAGCTGAGGGACATAACATCTTTATGTTGATAGGTGAGTCGTAATTTAGTTTCTTCAACAGCAAGTCGTAATAGTTGAAGATCTTCCTTGTCAGTAAGAGGTTTGTGATAACGGGACTCAATAACTTTTAACAGATACTGCATGAGGCGCTGATTGAAATCCTGACCCCCGAGATAGTTGTTACCTGCAAAATGTAATACAAATTAGTCAGTAAAACATGGTAATGCTATCTCTTTTATCTGCTTTTTGCATGTGTTTGTGTGTGCAAACATTATATATATATATATAATGTTTTGCACATTTATATATATATATATATATATATATATATATATATATAATATATATATATATATATATATATATATATTATATATATATATATATATATATATATATATATATATATATATATATATATACACACACACACACACACACATATATCGAGTGGCAATCCCCATGCGTGTCTGGTCTCAGGTTTCGAGCCAGGGGATGGCAGAAAAAGCTACATACTCTGCAGATTAACAGTGTACGCGGCGCCAAGGCTGAAGGGCTTCGATGCTCATGATACTGAGACAAATAAGCTATGCTCAAGTGTTTCTGGTTTAGAAAACAAAAATATATATGTGTGTGTATGCAACATGTTACATCACAGTGCAGATAAGCATGGTGTCATCACAATGATAGTTTAAAGATGGTACCAATATAGAAATATGTGTGTATATGTGTGTAGATATATAATTATAAACACACACACACACACACACACATATATACACACACACATACATATTTATATACTCAGAGAGAGAAAGAGAGACTTTTTTTATGTGAGACTCCCGCACAGATCTTGTCCCTGATCTGCTAACCTAAGTATAGCACAGTTCCTCACAACCTGTGATATTAATAACAAAGGTTAAGACAGCAATCAGTCTACCAGAAAGATATCTGAACACTTGAACATAACAACTGCATCTAACTGATAATAATTCTCCACTGCAACTAATTATAGTTAAGCCATGGTCTTCATGGAAGCGCTCAGTGGGGCCTAAATGCTTGCTGTCATCTTGATGGTCTTGGGTTCAAATCAACATCAGTGGCATTTTTATAAATTACCTGCGTTCCAATATTTAAAAAAAAAAAAACTTAATTGTGTATCCTTTACGGGATGCTACAGAACCAACCCCAGCATGTTTTAGCTGTTTGTGATTTGACTATGCAATTTTACTTTTAGAAGTTTGCCATTGCTTCTAAACAGTCAGTTCTCCATACCATGTCAAACCAGCACAAGGCGGTCTGCTGCCAAACTGTCTGCAGCTTTGATCTAGCCCTGCACCTTGGAATTATTGAAGCATGTTCGCAATGCCTAAACCACAGATTCTAAGCCACAGACGCTGACCTTCTGAGGTCAACTCCTTCTTTAAATTTTCTGGAAAATAAAGGTGACCTATGTGATGCCAATATCTCCTAACAAATGCCAATTAGACTTTAAAAAATGTTGGCCAAACACCAAAGGTCTGATGTGCTAATGTAATCAGAAGGGGGACCCAACTACCTTTACTTTACTTATTAAAAAAAAAAAAAAATCAAATCTTTACAATTATGATTCCTGGAAAACTCTGCTTTAAATGGTAACAGTATTTAAACAATCAACAAATAATATGATCACTGAAGACTATATCTACACCCATCTCTTCTTTTCCTTCAGTTACCTCACTGAATCTTGGAGAGTTATAATGATCTTCTGCGTGCACTTTCTAATGTGGTAAATTGATGCAAGACAAGCCAGAGTGAGTAAAAAGTGTGTAGGCCCCAACAGGTCATCATGTTCTTAGGAGAATGGTACAGCCAGAAGTGACCAGGAGATCTGGCCGACGCTCACCACTCAGGAAAGGGGGAGAGACGGACATACAATCAGAATGTTGCTGACACCATCAGGATAAGAACTCTACACCTGCTGCTAAAGACAGAGATGGAGCGTTTATGGGAATGTCTGGAGTGCTATGATGTCGGTTCTCAACTCTGAACTTTCTAAAGTGCTGTATAAGTTAATCTTTATTTCTGTATGTTTGTTTGGGATTGAGCCTTGAGAGGCAGGGGTTATAATGTGTTGCTGTTGTGGGTAGTGGTTTTCACCCTTACTTCACCCTAAGTCTAGTGAATTCTGTTCATGAAAGCAGCGTCAGCCTCTTGACCTAGCATAACCTCTCTTACCCAAAGACCACTGTGCGTGGTGAAGAGCCACATTCTCCCTGAGGTGTTCCTGTAACTGGGGGGTGTGAATCATCAGTCAAAATACAATGGCTCTAGGGAAGCAAACCACTTCAATAATAAACCTGGTGCACCACATCGTACAGCCCTCTGTGGGACGGAAGGAGGCGGAGGGGTGCTGAACAGTCTTAGGAGTGGAAACAAGTATGCTTACCCTCCTGAATACCCGAAACTATCATGAAGGCACAGGGACTCAGGACATGACGATCCAGTTGCCCTAACTACTCATGCTTAGAGCCATTGAGAACTCTGCGAAACCAGCAGGCAACCTGATGGCGAAGAATGAGCACAGTGTGAGCCCCACCTTAGCTACGTGACAATGGGGAAGGCAGAAACAAAACCCACAATTCATTAAGAACTGGTACAGTGCACTTCTTTCTGGCTGCTACCCTGGGAGGTAAGCAATCCACAGACCCCCCAGCACCACAATGCCATAAATATGTTGTTTCTGGTGCCACCATTTCATGTTTTGCATAGTTTTTCCCTTGTTTTCGTTATTTTTCTCTGTGTTTGTTATATTTATTCAGCGTGGCTCTCTGCAGCAGATGGTATCATGACATCCTACATTCTCATAAAGTAGTAATTCTGTCATGCAAATCTGTATTTAACGCATATAAAAACCTACAAAGTGAGAGAGAGAGAGAGAGAGAGAGAGAGAGAGAGAGAGAGAGAGAGGAAGAGAGAGACAGAGAGAGATAGAAAGACAGAGAGAGAGAGAGAGAGAAAGAGAGACAGAGATAAAACAGAGACAGAGAGACAGAAATAAATAGAGACAGAGAAAGAGAGCAAGAGATTAAAGGAATGTAGCGTAGAATACAGTAAGAAACAAAGCACTACTGAAGATTTCCAACACCCACTGACACTGGACTACATGTTATTTTGTAACCGTTTTGTGGTGTCCCAATATAACTGTGTTATATGGCTATACAGTTGAATAGGATTTGTTCATGCCTGATTCTAATCCTTGAGATGTTCATCTTATAGAATGCAAATCTGAAGCAGAAAATGGTGCTTTATTCCCCAAACAGGGAAAATCCACAGGTCATGGGACAGTCTTAATATTTCAGGGGATGGTAGATAGGCGGCATGCAGTCATGGGACCTAGGCTGCATGCATTCGTGGGACCTAGGCTGCACTCTCTCGTGGGACGTAAGTGGGTTGGGGTTAGGACCAGTTCTAGATGTTTTGGGATTGTTAAAAGCATCAGAAAGCCGGGAAACCCAGCCTTACCACCCTCTAAAATGCTGGACTGTCCTGTGATGTCATCTAGGGTAAGATATTAATAAAGAACCAAGAAGTCTTTAAAAAAATTGTCAAAGAGCCGAAAGAGCTGGCAAAAACTGAGAGACAAACCAAAAGATACAAAATATGGATTTCTTCATGATATAATGCAATGAGCAAAAGACACACTGAATACATTAAACAAACAGCATGGAGAAGAAGAATCTTAAAAATCACCAACTATTAACACATACCTGCCATAGCCTGGGTGAGAAACATGCCACCTTGGACATTGAGGAGAGAGACATCCAGTGTACCTCCACCCAAATCTATAACTAACACATTGTGCAAGTTGGATTTTTTATGCAGGCCATATGCCATGGCAGCAGCAGTTGGTTCATTGATAATGCGAAGGACATCAACACCTGGTGACAGAAAACAGTGTAAAACTACAAAATAAAACTCTCAATTGTTAAGATTTTACACTATTGAAAGTTGAAAGATCTTTACAAAAAATGATTAAAGCTGCAATAACTCAAAATAAAATGGTGAAAGTAACATCAAAGGAAATACTGCTTTTGAAGTGTAAATCTGTAAGGGTTTCACATTTCTTCTGTTTTCATTCGTCCGAGGGACACAATTGTGTTGTGCCTGTTTACAGCAAAGCTGCAATATTTGCGCTTTTTGATCTACACATCTGACTTCATTGAACATTTGTTGACCGAGTAAAAATTCCAGAGAGAATTTCACATACAATAAGATGATGAGACTGAAGCTGCAATACCAGTTTCTTATCTCACCAACATTTCTAAACAACAAATATTAGAAAGCCGTGGATTTATGTGTGTGCACCAAGATGAAACAAGACTGGGACACCTTTTCATATATACCACAATCACAGGCTATAAATTAGGAGGTCGGAGAGGCAAAGACATACAAAGATGGACAATACAAAATGCCAGTAGGAACACAGCCACATATAATGGCATAAAATAACTATTAAAGCCATTATTATTGGCACAAATAATATATCTTAGCACATTCGGCACACAGAAACCAGACCACAGTTTATCAACAATGATGCTCAAAGCATGCTGAATATCATTATCTTCCTTCTTCTTCTTCTTCACTTCCTCTTTTACCGCTGTGGGTGTCGAGGGAGATATAAGGTTCTGTTTCTGGCTCTTCTGGCCGCCTCGATCATAGGCACATCGTGCTGTTGTAGAGCTTCTCTGATGTTATCCTTCCATCTTGTTCTTGGTCTACCTTTTGCTCTACGTCCTTATTCTCTTTCCATGTATTGTCCGTTTATATCTCATTGTGTTTTCTGTAGCGATAAAAAATCCATTGCCGGCTTGCTAGGCCTGTCGCAACTTTACCAGAGCCCCGTTGGCCAGAACGTTTCGGGGTGACCCAGGGTGGCCTTCATGGCTACCGTAGCAGTCCCGTGGCACGAGGCCACACCATACTTCGCCCACACCTAGCAAACTCCTACTTTGTTCTGTCATTATCTTTTTTGTGTTTTAATAAACCAAAACTGGAATTGAAAACAGGAGCTACAGCAGTACCTTAGCTAGACACTCCCTTGCCCAGTCCAAAAGTCTTGGGTTTAAATCCATAGTCAGATTTTTCTCTTCAAAATTGGCTTGGGCTTCCAGGCTGACTTAAAATGGATACCAGGTCATGTCCTCAGCATATCTCCCCCCTCCCCTTACCCCTCCAATAAAAGATCCCGGAATCATATGAGTACAAAACCTTAAAAATAGAAGAAAAATCACAGAAAAAAGAGGAAAGAAACAGCTGGGCAATGTTAATTTTTCTTCTTCTTAATTTAATAATGCATAATAATGTAATAATGAAAAAATTTTCTTCTTTCTAATGTAATAATGCATGATTTTTCTTTTTCTTAATGTAATAATGCATGATTTTTCTTTTTAATGTAATAATGCATGATTTTACTTCTTAATGTATTAATGTATGATTTTTCTTCTTAACTCTTTAAAGCCCAAACAGCGGTGTGAGCGTAGTTTGAGAAGTTCCGTTCTGCCCAAACAATGGTGTCATCGTCAATCGTGTGTCCCTTACATTTTGCTTCGCACGCGCGTTCGTACTAGTTTCTAATGTTTGGAGGTACGATTTAACTATTCAGGGAAAGTCACTCTGCCGAAATCCTTTTAGTTTTATTTCCTGGACTAAACCACACGTGGATAATTTGAGAGAGAAAAACAGTGAAATTTTTTTAACAGTTCATTTTCTAAGTTCGTTTTTGAGTGCCATGAATACCAATGTTCTAACCACAAGAACAGGTTGCAGAACGCGTCTTTCTGCGGCCGAAGCTCTGAAATTGTTTCAGTCAGATGTTTTTAATTGTGATAATGATAATAAAAATTTAGATTTTTCTGAAAGTGATTCGGACGGGGAATTTTCGCCAGTGAAGCTGAGTGATCAGCTGTTCGGAAGCTAGCGATTCTGATGAGTTTATTACACAAACAATGTCCCATACTACCGTATTTATGGTGTAAGAGAAGGAAAGTGGTCTAAACAAAGAGACAGTACTATATTATGGCTAAGCTACATTGAAATCATTGCAGCTACAGTCTGTAAATAACTGTACAAAGTGAATAGTAAATAGCGTGTGTGTAATGGCTCATTTTGCTGCCATTTTTCCTGAAATTTTGCTTAGCACTAGGTTAGAACTAAGAGCTCCTGGGTGATAAACTAACCCAGAAAGTTATCATAACTTTAGAATATGTTAGGAAATTGAACAAATTTTGAAGTTTTGTTCTCAAATTTAGATATTTACTACTCTTGTGGCTGCAAAACCATGGTAAGTGAAGAATTTTTGTGTGAAATGTTGTCCTTGTGAAATTAACACCTGCTGAATTCTTCTTTTCCACTAACTATAACAAAATTAAACAATTACTTATCATCAGATTCAAAAAGTACATTCATTTCTCTTTTTAAAAATATATACTTTTATAGGGATTAGAAGTATATTACAATCTCTACAGCCTTTCTTGTACACCCACCCCTCTGCCATTTTTGTAAAGGGAAATTAATGTGGGCCAAGTCTGTCAAAATTCATGGGCCTGAAAGAGTTAATGTAATAATGTATGATTTTTCTTCTTAATGTAATAATGCATGATTTTTCTTCTTCTTAATGTAATAATGCATGATTTTTCTTTCTTATGTAATAATGCATGATTTTTCTTCTTCTTAATGTCATAATGCATGATTCTTCTTCTTTCTAATGAAATAATGCATGATTTTTCTTCTTCCTAATGTAATAATGCATGATTTTTCTTCTTCTTAATGTAATAATGCATTATTTTTCTTCTTAATGTAATAATGCATAATTTTATCTTCCTTATGTAATAATGCATGTTTTTTCTTCTTCCTAATGTAATAATGCATAATTTTTCTTCTTCCTAATGTAATAATGCATGATTTTTCTTCTTAATGTAACAATGCATAATTATTCTTCTTCTTAATGTAATAATGCATGATTTTTCTTCTTAATGTAATAATGCATTATTTTTCTTCTTAATGTAATAATGCATAATTTTACTTCTTCCTTATGTAATAATGAATGTTTTTTCTTCTTCCTAATGTAATAATGCATAATAATTCTTCTTCCTAATGTAATAATGCATGATTTTTTTTCTTAATGTAACAATGCATAATTATTTTTCTTCTTAATGTAATAATGCATGATTTTTCTTCTTAATGTAATAATGCATAATTTTTCTTAACCTTAATGTAATAATGCATAATTTCTCTTCTTCTTAATGTAATAATGCATAATTTTTCTTGTTCTTAATGTAATAATGCATAATTTTTCTTGTTCTTAATGTAATAATGCATAATTTTTCTTGTTCTTAATGTAATAATGCATAACTTTTCTTTTTCTTAATGTAATAATGCATAATTTTTCTTCTTCTTAATGTAATAATGCAGTTATTCATTTTTCAACTGCTACAGAATTCTTGAAACACTGTTACAGGAATCAATGCCTAGTAATGGTTTATGTGAACATGTGTGAACTGCTAACAAACCATAGAAACATGTGGAAGCAAGTCGGATCCTTACCCGCCAAAGACCCAGCCTTCATGGTAAAATTGCGCTGCATCTCATCAAACTCAGCAGGGGCTGACATGACTATCTTTGTGACGGGCGCAGATAAATTTTTCTCTGCAGCTTTCCTCAACTCTAATATAATACATGCTCCAACCTCCTGTGGTGATACGAGTCGTTCTGTACCGTTGATTACAACAGCAAAGCTAACCATGCCATCTGAATCTGCCTTGAGCTAGAAAAAAATGGCACATAAGGGGATAAAGATTACAGATATGAAACAGTTTACAGTAGTAACACTTAACTATCCTCACATTCTTTCTTCTTCTCCTATGTTCAAAGTGGGCCCCTTGAACCCACATCATGAACACTTTTCTTACCAGTTGAACTAGCCATAAATTATCATGTGAAGTATTCCATTGTAACTCAAAGAGTTAACACACACAAATATTTTGCGTTTATGTAAGTTATATCTCCCTTTACCCTTCCAGGTTAAAACCAGGATGTATAATGATGTAAAAGTTAATAAACAGGTATTTCCCCGTCAATAGAGATTAATAAGTATACAATAGTCTTTTATCTGATGTCTATTCCGTCTTCCTTTTGTGATAATGACCACATCGCCCACTGCGTGCCAGTTGGTCTATAAAATATAGGTTTAGCCCTATATGCCCAATAAGCCAAAGGGTCCTTTATTTCACTTACTTTCCCTTCTTTATCCTTTAAAACTTAGATGTACCTAATAGTACATGCTTATGTTTATCAGTGTGCACAGTGTTTTCAATTGTGCGTATGTATGGAACAGTAAATAATACAAATATGTGTGCATGAATGTATAGATAAGTTGGACATAACTTTTCCTAAATCATACTATATTTTCTTGCCTTTTGTATTTATCCCAATCCTTGGCATCTTGTTTCCCTCACCAGACTTCTGGGTTTAGCTGTAAGCAAGCTAGTGCGGTGGCAATGTCAACACATTGAATGTCTTCTTCTTTTCATTCTCCCTGGCCGTTGTTTTCAAATGAGAAAGTCGCAGAGCTCTATGAAGGCTGTGGTTTGGCACATGTATTTCACTGATCAAAACAGTTTGGTTTCTAATGGATGTTAACTGGATAGACCTGATATTTCTCCAAAGTATGTAAACATCTTTGTTGTACAGACATGACTTTACTTTGCCAAATACACAGTAGGTTGCAATTTCTTTCTGTGAGAGCATAATGGGCGGGTTATCCTTGTCATTATGCCTATGGAGGCGTCGTCTGCCTAGCACAATTAAAGTGATGACCAGTAGTGAAATCTTCTCAGCTGCTCACCACATTTTTCCATCACCTGGCTGCTATAACTTTACATAAGCCTGATCAAGGAGGGCTAAGCGGGTACTCTACCCCTGCCCATGAATGTATCCCACAGGCTAGCGAAGGGAAGGAGGCGCCTTACATCTCCTGTTGCCAGGGTTTATCCTACCCCACTATCCTGATAACATCAGATGGAAGATGTATTAAAGAAGCTAAATGTAGAATAGCTCAAGCAAAGGCAGCATTTTACAAAATGAAGAATATTTTATGCGATCTTTCATTCTCAATTGAGACGAGAAAAAGAATTCTTAAATGATATATAAATCCTATCTTGATATAAGCAAATGAATCATAGACAGTTGAGTTGGTAGATTGGTGAAACATTTGGAAGCTGCAGAGATGTGGTTTTATAGATGAATGATGAGAATACCCTTGGACAGATAGAAAGATTAATGAAGACGTCTTGAAAGAAACTGACTCATGAAGAGAACTGACTGCCCACATCAGAAAGAGATGATCTACATTCTTTGGTCATATAATGAGAAGGAGAAAATGTAAGTACATAGCGACAGTAGGAAAGCTGGAGGGAAGGAGAGGCAGAGGAAGACCAAGAGAAAAGATGCGGTGTCAGAGTTGATTCAAAGTACATAAGACAGAAGGTTGCGGATAGACATGACTACCAACGCCACACGGCACAGACTTCAAGAAGAAGATGTAAACAGCATGACTGCAGCACAGTATTCTAGGGTACCTGTCTACACAGGTGAAATTCTGAGTCCCAGTTTTGAATTTTATGGCTGATGAGTTTAAAAATAAATATATTCAACTTTTTGTGTGTCTCATGATGTGGTAACAAATTGATTCCACATTCTCCTGATATTTATGGTAAGCTGTTCTGGTGTCTTAGTCTCTTTCAAAACATTTAGATACCAATTGTAGCTCTCAATTTAAGTCTGAGTTTCCTCCTGTAAAACCACATCTTTGAGACCTCTGGGAAATTTTGTTGGCATTTTTTTAGGAATTGTCAAAAACAGAAACTATAGATTGGAGAGTGACAGGATAAATAAACTCATCAGGAAGGAACAAACAATAATTTTAAGTTTAAGACAAAATAATTAGGTCTTAGAGCTCACCTACTTAGAATTATCAACAACAATAAACACAAATAATTTGCCACCAGTGACTGGAACAGACAGACAAGGTCCTGAAACAAGTACTCTCTGGTCCAGGGGAGCTGCATTGCAAGACAAGCTTTGAGGGACCGGCAGAGAACACACAGACAAGACTGAATGTTTAGCATGACTGATGTCGGGCAAAGAATTAAAAAATAACTACCTGTTGAGGAATGATAATAAGACTAACAGTAATAAGAAAAAAGTGTTACCTTAAATGGATACTGCTTCTGTGTTTCCTGGAGCTCTTTTTCACCAAATTTCTTTCCTATGAATCGCTTGGCATCATACAGTGTGTTGTACGGGTTGTGCTCTGACTGTGCCACAGCCTTGTATCCAACTAATATACCATTGCCACTGAAATATTTATTTGTAACAAATACTGTTACTATACTGATCTGAATGAAGATGACAGTTTCATTAATTAAAAATCTGCTTTATAAATTATAATTTTTTTTAAGTAGCTATAAATGTTGAACTATTAGCACTTTGGTCTATCTTCAGTATCCTTTTGCAAGGGATCTCAAAATGATATATGCTCATTGTGTGGCTTGTTTTGAATTCTACAACCTGTGTTGGGTTGTGATCACATTGGGCCAGGAGTGCAGAGAGTGGCCAGCAGGTGCTACAGGGTTGAAATTCCAGCAGGTGATTCATGACAATTCACGCCCAGGTGATCTTATTATCTATACAGATGGTTCAGTGTTGAGAGGAAAGAGAAGTGCCTGGGGGTTCTTAGCAAAAGCCAATGGAAAATCTTTAGTGCAAGAAAGCCTAGCATACAATACCACAACAGCTAGCATGAAAATAGAGGTGAAGGCGGTAACTGCAATTCTCCGGTGGCTAGAAAACAAGATGCATACACATGTTGTAATTGTAACAGACTCTGAAAGCATGCTGAGAAAGGTGAAGACAGGGATGCTTCAAGCAGAGTGGCAAGCTTGACAGGGATGGTCACGGGTTGTTTTCACGGGTAGTGAGCATACTTTGAATCTTTTCTCCAGGCCATGCCAGCATAGCAGGTAATGAATAGGCAGTCAGATTAGCTGGATCTGCATCACTGGGTGGTGAATTGATACATGACAAGGCAGATGTGGTCAAGGCCCTTTGGGAACAAGCAATAGAATCAGTAGAGAAACAAGATTATTACGGCCTGGAGAGAATGAGGCACCTGGGTGTAACCAGAGGGTCTGGCCGGCTCACTACACTCAGAGGAAAGGTAAGACAGACACATAACCAGACTGTGACAGGTACCATCAGTACTGGAACTCTGCGCTGGCTGCTAAAGATGAGGACAGAGCACTCATGGGAATGCCCCGAGTGCTGTGATGTCAATTCTTGACTCAACTCAACAACCTTGGTAAGTAAATGGTGCAAGTCATATCCTCAGGTTTACTTACAGCTGCTTACAAGCTACCTTTAAAACTTCCTCTTAGGTGCCGTTTGAATCTCAGAAGAAGGCGGAATATTACATGTGTTCACATCCCAAATAATATGTGCTGTTCTGGTTTTGGGTTCTCCTGTCGACTCATCAGTTTCCGCATACGGCTGCCTGTCCCCCTTCTGAATATTCAGGTTATCATTCTTTATGGCAATTTTTTTCTTTCAGGGAGAGATCAGATTCAGATAGACTGTCCATGCCTTTGATGACTATGAGCTGAGTGTGGTATGTTGGATTTTCACCATAATTCCAACATCAATGACAACCATAAGCATAAGGTGATCTCTGAATACTGAGTCCTTGTGATCCCCCATACCCTTTATTTTAAATCAACTATTTATCTGTGGTTTACAACTTAGATACGTGGCAGAAGTCTTGCATAATGTCCATTTCTTCTGGTAAAGATCTTCTAAAGTTCCTTCTGTTTCATCATGTGGTTACAGTAAGGGTGCAAGGCAAAATCTTAAATAAAATCTAAAGCTTTAACTTCCTTTCGTGCCTGTAATACACTTTCCTTTTTATACATACACTTGAATGTGACATGTTTATTTTCCAAATCAACATTTGCACTAGCTCATTTCCATACCTCAGATGCAAGATACATTCAACATTCTAGATGTAAGATCAAAACAATTAGACCTAAAAAAAGTCACAGGGAAAAGATAAAGATAATGAGAATAAAGCAAGCAAACAATAACTCAATCCCCCCTTGGTAAAACTCCACTTTAAGGTGTGGTGATCCACTTATTTTTGCAGCAATGTAGAAATAGATGGAGGAACAAATAGAGCTATAACAACACAAACTACTAGAGGAGATATCATAACATTAGGACATTTGCAGAAGTCAAATTAAATTTATTACCAAATTAAGAATATTTAACTCTAATACATAATCAGTACCGCTGTATGGAGAACTGTGCTGAATGATTAAAACTAATAAACTTCAAACAGTCACTTACTAATGTATGGGCAAAACAGAGGAAAGTCAACAATATGACAGAAGCAATAATATGGAGCTTTGGGAAATAACTAAGCAAATTTAAGTAATTCAAGAACCAATAAAAAGACACATGGAGATGGAAAAAACACAGACTGAAAAATCTGAATAATAGTATAACAATGAGGGGGTTTCAAATAAAAACTTTAAAAGTGAGACAGAAATTACAGCAACCATGCCACTGTCATGTAACCTGTCAATATTGTTGTTAAGGATGTCATGAGTGTTAAGCATGTAACATCACAGTGCAAACACACACAGCGCTTGACAGTTTCAAATAAAAACTTTAAAAGTGAGACAGAAATTACAGCAACCATGCCACTGTCATGTAACCTGTCAATATTGTTGTTAAGGATGTCATGAGTGTTAAGCATGTAACATCACAGTGCAAACACACACAGCGCTTGACAGTTAAATGATTGCTGCTCCACTTTTGACGTGCACCAAACAGGAGCAGTTATTTATTTTTTTAATCAATGAAGAATACCCTAACATTTCTATAGCTCCTTCACATATTATTTTAGTTTCAGTTTTGTAATATTACAGTTAACTGTCAAATCTAGTTTAATAAATGTTTTTTTACTATCATATCAAATTTGTCAAATCTGGTGTTGATCTATCTATATATTGTCTTTCTCTGCTTAATGCTGTTAGGCGTCACAGGCATGGCTAATGATCAGTTTCCGGGACAGCACTTGCTCGTACTGCATGGTGAGATTGTTGAGTCTCAGCAAATCGTTAACTCCATCCATCTTCTTCTTGGCCTTCCTCTGCCTCTTAATGTTTCCATTCTTATGCTGTGTACTCTTGCAAAAGATTGATAATGACTACAAAATCCAATTCTGTTAAATCAATCATTTAATTACATACTGCAATAAATCCATTATCTGCCTCGGTGTTCTTTTTTCAAACTTTTCCTATTTTATTCGTGCAATAAAGTAAAAACATCAAAGTCTACTTTAATAAACTGTTGATGAAAAGTAAACACAAACATTCACAATGTTCTGACATTCAATCAGAACATACACTCACGTAAAAGCTACCACACTGGGTATACATTTGTGATCATCTTGAGTGGTGAGAACAGTTACATTGCCGCTGACTGCGTGGTACATACCAACACATGAGTATGTGGTTCCTGAAACATTAAATATAGAATAAAAAATATACAACTTTCATGGAAAACAAAAATATCGGTGATAAAAATTAGGAAAGTACTGACATTTAATATAGATATTTACAAATTAATTTAAATTTTCAGGCCTCAGAAATGATGTATCTTAGAAAGGTGGTCCAAGTGACAAGAAGGGATAAAGTCAGCAAACAGAAAATATGCCATGATCTTGAAACCCAGGCCTTACAAACTCGAGCCTGCGATGCCAAGAACCAGGCAACCGGACCACAAGGTTGACCCAGGGTTCAATGGGAAAACAACATCTGACAGTCCCTGACTCACAGAAGACTGAAATAAAACTCAACCAGAAAGAAAACTGCTGATACACAAGTCTGTCGTTCTCTCTGGAAAAACCTCTATACCCCAAGGTAGAAGAGGATCGACTAAGCAAGTAAGTAAATCATGCAAGCTATAAATATAAATTAAGCTGACAAGAAAACAAAATATTTCCCGCAAAATAAAAATCCCCAAACCCACATCTAGAGTAGATATAATCCCATTTTCTTCTCTTTTATCTGCAATTCAGCACATTCCCTCAATAATCTCACGTCAAAACCTTCTTTGGTTTACTGTCTCTTTTTTTGTTTGCCTGATATCTTTATCATTTTGCTCATTACCAACTTTCATTAGCTTTTTGCATTGCAAATTTATTACATGCCATTCACAAGTTGAATTTTATGTTGTCCCATTTCATTTATTAACTCATTTTATACCAAGGAACATATCATATGTTGACTAACTGCAATGAATCTGCAAATATGCTGTCTTTTGCTCAGGAAATACCCTCTCTCAGGCTGCTATTCGTTCATCTCTTGATGTTGTCACTCCACTCATTTCGCTGTCTGCTTCTAGTGGCTTGTCTTCCACTTTTCCCTCCAGTTGTTATTATGGCTTTTAACATGGCCATAATATTTCACTCTCTTTGTCTCAATTTTTTAAATAAAAACATTTTTCACACATAAAAAGCTAATAGTATTTTTATAACAGCTAACAGTTTAATCTTTGGGTTACACATTGTACATACATAAAAAATGAACAAAAAACTACTGAAATACAAACCAAGATCAATTCCAACAACCCTAGGCTTTGGGGGAGGTAGATAAATCTGTGCAAAGTATCCTGCTAACAAAACAGCAAGCACTGCCGTACCTGAAAATGAAGAAGTTCGAACTGCGGTCAAGATGAATATTTTCATAGAACTGCCATGAATGCCTGTATTTACATTACTGCTGTGTACGCAGGGGGTCTCTGAGCCTGAAGATTTAGTACATCATTCCATTTTTCCTCTGATCTCCCTCCACTTTAAGTGCCTTTAATCTATTTTTCAGTTCAAGCTGGAACTCTTCTCTTATTTTTCCACTGCAAAGTATCTTCATCAATTCACATGTTTATCCCCCCCAGCTTTTTAAAATTTCAGTTTTTCTACATTTAAGATGTATTCAGTGCCCACATCTGCTCTTCTATATGTTCGGACATCCATCAAAAAGCTACTATATTTGTTATTTATACAGAGGTGGTCTATCTGATATTTAGTCATGTAAGCTGGTGAATGCCAAGTTAGTTAGTAAATTTCCTCATGCCCAAAGATAGTGACTCTAGTGAGTAGGTCTGACTGCATGTACACTATTCGTTTTCCAGTTACATTTCACTGTATGGTCTTCAACGCATAATGTATATCTTACAGCTAATACACAAATAACAATCAAGTGTATACAAATAATAACCAAGGGCAATAACTGTATAATTAATTATAAACATGAGATTTAGATTACACAATTGCTTTTATTGGGACTTGGTGCCTGTTGTCACCATAAACTGTCTATAAAAGGTGCCGATGCTCTTCACAAAGTGCCACTGACCTCTGATATGTTTTCTGACAGGTACAACATGGTTGAATGTAGCAGACTATTATTTCAATTGATATGTTCTGTTTGGCGCTCGTAATGATCTATATTAAATTCGGCTATCTTCCGAATAACGGCCCCAAATTATCGAGGCAGAAAATATACCCTAACAGGGCCTCAGTCGCGTGTCAATTGCGTATTTCCAGCGACTATACCGCCGCCGCCAAATTGTGAACTTCCGCCACCACCGAGAGTATCCCCCGCGCCGCTCAGGCAGTGTGGATTGGAGCTAAACTAGATGGCTAGGACTCACAAGCAAATAAAATGAAGGCAGCTGCAGGAAATGCAGTAGCTGCTGCTCGTAAGTTCCAGCCATCTAGGTTAGCCCTAATCCACGCATACATAAAGTTTACATAAACATCTCACTACACTCAGAGGAAAGGCAAGACAGACATATAATCAGATTGTCACTGGCACCATCAGTATTGGAACTCTGCGCTAGATGCTGAAGATGAGGACAGGGCACGCATGATGCCCCAAGTGCTGTGATGTCAATTATTGACTCACATCAGCATAAACAACATTTGGCTCTTCTCCGAACTTCTACCCGATATTATGGCGGCCATATTTTAGGCATATGTAAAATGCGGACTTTCTGCCAAGGAACAAATCGCGGCAAAACTAGGATTACTTGACAATTTCAAGAGACGCAACATTGCAGACGATAATAGCGACTGTTGACAATTTCGAGCGTTTCTGCAGACGATAGTAGCAGACGATAATAGCATGCGCAAAACATGATTAAACTCACCGCCAAGTTTATCTCCTGTGCCACTACGCGCAGCGCGGATGGGGGGCTAAACTAGGTGCCTGGGACTCACGAGCAAATAATTGGAGGAAGTTGCAGGAAATGCGGTAGCTGCTGCTCATGAGTCCCAGATATCTAGTTTAGCCACTATCCTCGCCGCGCGTAGTGGCGCGGGGGATACGGTCGGCGGTGAGGCATGGTCACAGAAACAGGTCCGCAAGTAACATATCGCTGAGACCCTGTTAGAGCATTTGTTTCGTTAGATGGAGCCGGCATATTTTTAATAGAACTGAGTCCCGTAAGGATATTTTATGGCTGCCATAATATTGGGTCCAAGTTTGGAGGAGAGCCCAACATTCTATTATCCTGAAAGCTGAGAACGCTGACAATGTTAAAATCATGGTGGCTTGGAAAAAAACGGTGATGGAGGGTACAGTTCCTGGAAAATGAGGCAGTGGTCGCCCTCAGCAAAAGGTGGATACAGGACACTGAAGTTGCATTGTCTATGAAAAAGACATATAGAACTATATGAACTAGAGACTTTCTTTTCGGGTGTGCGTGAATGATGCGAGCGACGTTCCCGTTCTGCTAATTGATCATGATGGATAATCCCAAAAAAACATGTTTCTTCACAATACAACACAAACTATATTTTACAGCTAATACACAAATAATTACCAAGAACAATAAATGTAGAACTCATGGTTAAACGGTCCGGTGTAGCAGACCGATAACTAATGCAGACGTGTTACAAGCAGGATCCGTGGGGGGCGGCTACTGTTGTTGGATAGCTGCACATTGATCGGCAGTGTGCTCCCTTTGTTTTCATGCAATGTACGACGCAAGTTACAAACAAACGGCGAAGTTTGTTTGAGGTATGATATGATATGATACAACTACTCCTCTTGTGGTGCGTTTCTTTTATGTATCTTACATAGATATAAGCATGCATACAGTGATTCCATATAGATTCAGTTTTCGAAAGAGACTAGCATTAATGCGGTATTCATTATGTATATAATTTTGTAGTTTTAATGTTTTAACTTTACAAAATTGAAATAATTTATAATAAAAACAAAATCAACGAAAGGTTCGATTGTTGTGTTGCCTGTGCCAGGTGATGCAATCAAATAAATCCAAATCACCTGTTCTTAGTGAAGTATCTACGTCAGTTATAAACTGATAAGCAGGAATGTTATTGGTATTATTTTATGTTTTTGTTATGTGTTACATTGTCAGAATGAACTGTCACCTCCTCAGACAATTGACAAATTTAACAGAGATATTGGCTTTCCTTTCAACTCCGGTCGGTAGACAAACATCGACAGCCGGTTAGTCGGAGTTATGTCCCCTTGCTACAGTACAATTACGGACTGGAGACGGCACGAATCAAAAAACACAGTGAGGTCGACATGCAGACCCCGCGCTGCCACTCAAATTAGCGACCGCCTTCAATTACCGCTTCTTCCGATGCATTACGGAGTGGACTAGAGGAAACGAAACAAGTGACATAGTTACTGTGTGTCGGCGATAGACAGCGTGCAGTACCCTAGGGTTAGGGTTAGGGTGTGGGTTGCTACTATGAGTTTGTGCGAAGACGAGATGCGGCAACACTAACCTTAACCCTAACCCACACCCTAAACCTAACCCTACCGCTAAACCAAACCCTACCCCTAACCCAAACCGTGACCGTATGCTGTCTATCGGCAACACACAGTAATTATGTCATTTGTTTCGTTCCCTCCTGTCCAGTCCGTAATTGCACTGTAGCAAGGGGACATAACTCTGACTAACCGGCCGTCGATGTTTGTCTACCGGCCGTAGTTGAAAGGAGAGCCGAGATACTGTTATTTTTTTAAGAAAAAGCCAAATTACAATTACGTAGATTACTGTCTCCAGGAGATTCCTGACATAAGGAAAAACACTACACTATACCCAGGAGAGAGAAAGGGGACATGCCCCATTCAGTTGATTGATCTTGTAACGCCTTTTCAATACCTCTTGCAGCACTTACACAAATGTATAAATACTTTTACTTAGTTGCCCCTCATCTTCCTTTACATCTTGAGGTGTAGAGGTTTGCCAGAGAGATCACTAGTCTTTTCTATCAGCAGTTTTATTTCTGGCTTTGTTCCATTTGAGTCCTCTATCAGTGAAGGACTGTTGAATGTTGTCCTCCCAGAGAACCATGGGTTGTCCTGGTGGCCGATTGTCTCCCATTCTGCATTCATGTCTAAACCATGGTAACTGACTGATCCACTCGAGTTCATAAGGCCTAGGTTTCAAGGTCATGATGTTTGATTGCGAACTTTGTCCCTTCTTGTCACTTGGATCATCTTTCTCATATACATCATATTTGAGGGCTGAAGCTGGCTTCTGTTAGCTGTTATCATTGTCCATGACACACACCCATATGTCATTACTGGCACTTAGGTAGAGTGGTATACAGCCATTTTTGCCCCCTTGCTAATTTATCTTTTGCTGAGAAACCTCCATTTTGTGGCCTGGAAAAGTCTCCCGGCTGTTTTTTAAGCAGCCAGCTCTGACTTGATGCCTCCATTCTGGTCTATTATGTCTCCGAAGTATTTGAACTGGTTGACCTGCTCCAGTGCATCTTGTCCCATCATGATTTAATGTTTCTTCACCTCTTTTGAGATCAGTATGGTTTTTAGTTTTGGACTGATTGTTGCTAATCTCTATCTCAGCCTTTACTATCCAGACAAATAAACTGGACTGAAGATATGCCTCAGATTTCACATTTATCTATATATATAAAAATCAATGTTTGTGTGTTTGTTTGCCCCCTATAGACTCGGAAACTACTGAACCGATTTAGCTGAAATTTTCAGGATATGTTTGTTTTGATACCGGATTTTGAACCACCGTGGTTTGAAATTCAACCTGTCACTGTTAGAGATAGGTGACCACAATTTATGCCATAATATCCGTAACTAATATTTATACCTTCAGTGATTTCTAATTAGTAATTGCGCATGCGCCGTAGTTACCATTCGCCGGCGAGTTACGTGCAGCCAACGCCTTCTCTAATACATAGAGTAGGTCGTGGTACAGCAAACAAGACTATCTCTATATTTGCCACAATAACCATATTAAACACGATTTCTATTTTCTGTGTTTTTTTTCAAACAATCTTCGATTGGGGAGGGGGGGGGGGGAGATAAAAGGGGGGGTGGCAATCAAGGACTATCTCGACGTCGGCGCAGACAGTGACTGCGACATTAACTTCATTAACCGTGTTAGACACGTGCGATTTCTATTGTTGTGCCGTTTCATTAATATATCTGGAGTATCTGTCTATGAGAAAACAATTGCCTGCGGTTTTGAATTGTGTTTTAATCGCGACACAGTAAAAGGGACACACATCTCTAATAGTTAACTTCTCTTTTCGTTGCTCCGATTAAGTGGCTGCTTGGTCGAATGGTTAAAACACTGGGTTCCTGTGCGGGAGACCTGGGTTCGAATCCGCAGCAGTTAAATTTTTTTTTTACCCCGGACTAAAATAATATTCTCATCTGCTCTGTCATGGTGACAGCACTAGCCATGTTGCCTTAATATTAAAAAAAAAAAAAAAAGTAAATGAGTAAACCATTTGATAATTAAATTTGACTATTTCGCATACTTATGATTGCATTTCTAAACTTTCCGATTGCATGGTTACGCTGAAAATTCATAGATTTTCATTTATTTTCAATTAGATTTAGTTATTTCATCTGCGTTGGAATTTCAAGCTGTGCTGTTTACCATGGCGTTCATTTCCTAATTATGGTGTTTTTTTCCTGTGTTCATTTGCTTTTCAAGTGTTTTTTTTCCTCCCAACTACTTCAATGAGGGAAAGAGTTGTCGGTGAATTTAGATGTATGGGGGGGGGGGGGGATATTAACTGAGAGAGCTTTAAGTCACAGTAACTGCTTTACCCACTTAAAGTAGCAGCAGCAGTAATAGTTGTGGTTGGGCTGTTACACCATAGTGCTCTCATGTGAAGACCGCCGGTAAGGTTATGGCGTTCTTCTGTCGGCAAGTGAAATTATACATCCTAACCTGACCAGTCTGTGGCGACAGCACTAGCCTTGCGGAACCAAATCTTCTGGCTCACGACTCTCTGTCTACTCCGATGGTAACACAGATAGCAGTGACATTATTTTAGTAGTTGTACTGGTACTTGAAGGATGATGTGGTAAATATTACACTAGCCCCATTCACTACCTATTACAATTCCTGCTCCCTATTTTAGTCCAGATGGACAGGGATGTCAATGTCAGTTACAGCAACAAAAAAAATATCGCCAGGTAGTGATTTTCAAATCCTTTGAAGAGGGAGAGAGCAGTAGTCGGTGGAAGAGGGGAGGGGTAATGACTTAAATTTAAGAGAATTTAAAGAGCTTTACACGTGATTTTCAAGTTCTCATTACCTAATTTGTTTATATTTTACTAACGCTACCTCCGCTTTTCTATTTTTTTACGACTTACTTTGTTATTCACAAGTACAGTTGTAGCTTTACTTCCGTCCCCTATAAAAATACAAACAGCTTTAGCATGTGATAACCAAATAACCATTTTTGTTACTATGCTAATAACACCATTTAAACGACCACCAATATAAAGACACAATTATAAGGTGCGTGTTCTAAAGTTGGAAAACCAGACTATCTCTATATCTGTGCACAGAATGATTGCGACATTTACTATATTAGACACGTGCGATTTCCATTAGTCTTTCTTTTCCAAAAACCTTTGATGAGGGAGAGAGTAGTAGGTGGATTTAGTTGTGGGGGGGGGGGGGGGCGGATCAAAGACTATCTCTATATCTGAGCAGACAATGATTGTATTAGACACAATGCGATTTCTATTTTCTTTTATTTCCATTTAGCCAAACTATGCCACAGCAACGCGTGGCCGGGTACAGCTAGTAAATAAATAAACCAAATATTGCTCCATTTAGTAGTTACATTTTGACACATGATTAAATCACATGCGATAATTTGAATACTTTTCAGTCCTACCTCTTGTTACCATGAATGATGAATGGATGCATTCCACGCAATCTAAGATGTTACTGGATTCACCTCAGGCACTTTAAAAGGCAGAAATTACCAATACTACCAGTACAGAATGTGCCTTCAAGGAGGAAACGGTCATTGTTATACGGTGTGTAGATGAACCCTGTGATATTACTTTTTAAATAAACAATAGTAACAATATAATCACAGTCCCTGCTTTTTGTTATCTCTTCTGGGGTCCTGTTTTGGATGTAAAAGAATAGAACCACTGCACCTTAACCCACTGACTATCGCATGTTATGCAATGAGACGATGTTTACTTCTTGCTGCCAAGGTCGCACCCCTTGCGATTCTAGCTTAGGGCGCTCCCCATCATGTAAAAATCGTGATTTTTATGATGAACTTAGTTGAAGCCTTTAGCTTATTCATTTCTGTATGATTAATTAAGGGAAATAACTTCTGGCGCTTAAAGTCAATATTTGACGAATTTTCTTAGTTAGCTCCCATGTCAGTGAGACATTGACAAAATTTTGATCACGGCGTCAAATTCTCAGAACCATCGTGATGGTCATATTTCTCCTAATGTTCTGATGATGCATGTAATTTTCCTGATTTTGCCCCAAGAAGTGAATTTGAAGACACTACTGAACAGTTTGATGGCTATGACTATGATAAATTTAACGAAGTGCCATTGAAAAGATTGTTGATTATTAAAATGACGACCATACGCTTCGAAGTCAGGTCTAACAAATACTCGCTCGACCGACAGTTACACTAGTGCAAGCGGCAGTTTCTGATACTAATAGTTCTTTTGAGAGTATTCAGCCAGAGCCCACAGATTAGGAAGAATTTGTGCCTGAGTGTACATGACGAAGATATCATTGCCGCTTTTGTGTTCAGAATCATCATCATTATCTGACAAGTCAGGGGAAGATTTGCCACGCCCATGCCATGACTGGCATTGTGATTTGGAAGGCTTTCCTGATGTACCCCCATTTACTGGCACTTCTGGTTTACTTCTGCCAAAGGGAACAAATGAACCACTAGATATTTTTAATATTTTCTTCAGTAAAGACATTCTTGTTGTGTTTGCTAAAGAAACAAACCGTTATGCTGAATCATAGATTGGTGCGAAACCAGACAGCTGTTTTGCCAGGAACTTTAAACACACAATACCAAATGAAGTGAGAGGGTTTCTTGTACTGTTGCTTCACATGAGTGTTGTGAAAAAGCTGTCTGAAGTTGCAGAATTTTATTTCACAGCTGGACACAGCTCTCACCCAGGACTGTTTCAGCAAAAAGAGAGCAGCAACACCTTGTGCTCTCCAAAAAAGGGTATAGTCCTTGAAGTGTCTGACAGACAGACACTTTGCTTCTCCACTTTTACCAACAGCTTCAAACTTAAAACCCAGAAGAAGGTGCACAGTGTGTGTAAAAAAGATAAATTTAGAAATCCAGAAAATAAAAAAGGCTACAAAGGGACCATGACAAGTTACTGATGCAGGGAATTTCAGGTGCCATTTTGCATTGAACAGTGCTTTGAACCTATCATACTTCTGAAAAATTTGGCTGTAAAATTTTATAAATTTGAGTTGTAAATATCTGTATTTTTGTTGTTGCATTGTTATTCAATTGCACACCATTTTCTAAACTGATAAAACAACCCACATTTTTTGGTTGCCTTTTTGGCACCAATGCACAGCTACATAATGACGATGAAAAACAGAATAAAAATTTTTTATTCTTGAAATTGGTTCTTCATTTTAATTTTGTGCAAAAATACTAAATATTGTGAGATTATATCAAATAGTTGTGAAGCTATCACATTTTTAGCAAACACTTAAATAGGTGGTGTCTGGGAACATTCAAGGGTTAATAGACTTAGTAGTCAGTGGGTTAATAAGCATCTTATAAAAAGTGACTAATTAACTGTTTGCCAAAAGTGGATGTGTTGGGTCAAAAGGTAAAAATGTCACAGCCTAGCTGTAAACCTCGACTTAAAGGCAATGGCCAACAAAGAAGGTTTGCATTGATTTTGACAATAATGTGATTTTTGTACTGGTGAAAAAGCACCAGAAGACTGCTAAATGTAAAATTGTCAAATAAAACAAACCACACAAAAGTCTGTACATGCCAGAGTTGGTTTACAATATCCTGAAAAGGGCATGCGGCTAACTAACTTTATTAATTGTTATCCAATATCAGATAATAGTCCCTTCCTGTGTGAGTTCTGAAGCCCCATTTGGGGTGAAAGGGGGAGGGATAGACCCACTGCCCCCTAGGTGTGAAGGTGTTCAACAGAGAACCATAAAACAGAAGTAGTCAGACTAATAGTGAAAAAAAAAAGGTTGTTGATAAGACATCTGTCTGTGATACAGAATAACAAGGACATCATCATATCTTTCGAATGACCAAGAAATGTGTGGTGAGCTGCTTGGTCCAGAAGGAGTTGAGTGAGTGAGATTCAACCCCGCCAGGACATCCACCAAGCGACAAACACCCAGTGACACAAAGTGCCACCATGCGGATGAGGCTCACCCAGGGAGAGATCCCAGAAACCTCGTTCGACCACTAGGTTATATTAGGGCCCCTGACAACAGCCGGGGTGGGGCTTTAAAATAACAGTTTCGTCCTGTATCGAGACAACAGATAAAGTATTTAAGAAGGGGTTAGGGCAAATAAAAAAAGAAGATACTGTTGCTGAGTATGAATTGTTGGGTCCTAATTTGATTTAGATCATGTTTTATGAGATGACAGGTGGGCTGCCTTTCTTTGCCTGGCAATGCACACACAAAATGTAACAATTCTTGATGTTCATTTTTATTAGCCTTAATGCTAGGGAAATAACAAGTGTAGTATATTAGAGTTTGTACTCTTTGTGCTTTCAGAGAGAGAGAGAGAGAGAGAGATTTTTTTTAAAAAGAGCACACATTTTTGTGTTTGAGAGAGATGAATAGTTCTAGTTCTGGTTGGAGAAATAGACACTCTTTGTGGTCATTGTGTGGAATATTTTTTGGTAGCATTTGATTTTAGTTAGTATGTGCCAGTTACATTCACCACAAAATTGCATTCTGTTTTCCACCACACTTTAGTTTCTCATTGTTGCCAGTGGGTTTTCTACCCCCCCCCCTTTCCCCCCTCCAATTTTTATGATATTTCCACCTTTCCGAGATTCAATTCTACTTTCATCTGTTTTCTCTGCTTTCAGGTTTTATTGTTTTGACTGCAGTTGGAAGTGGGTAAGTCTTTATTATAATAGGTCATTAGATTGTATTTAATTTATCATAAATGTATTTTTAATGCACTAAGTGAGATGTTTATATTAAATAAAGCCACAAGTTGATTAAAATCTACATGTAGCATTATAATGATAGTTTCAAATGCAAAATTCAGTCAGAATACATGTAATTAATGAACATGAATAGGATGTCTGAAGAAAGGAAAGTCAGCAGGTTGCGACGAAATACCAGTGGCAAGCGTCCAAATCTACCATGCACTGTGCATGAAGATCTAGAACAGCGCCATTTGGCCTAAAGCGTAGAAAAATAAAAAATGTGTATCCCTCTTCCAAAGAAAGGAAATCTGAAACTTTTGTTCCAACTATCACAAAAATTAGTCATGGTAGCAAAATCCTCTTAAGAATTATCTTGAAGATTGAAAGGAAACTACAAGATGAGCTACATGAAGAAAAAGCAGTTTTCAGACAAGGTAGGGGAACTAGGGATCACTTCTTTAATTTAAGAATAATTTTTGAAAAATGTAGAAAATACATCGTAAATCTTCATGCTTGTTTGATTGATTATAGCAAGGCATTTGATTGTGTCCAACAGCAGAAATTGTGGGAGTATTATGTGAAGTATGGGGTTTCCAGCGCATTTTGTGCATTTTATCGACAATTTATATCATGAACAACAAGTAGTCATCAGAGCAGCTGGTAAAACATCGGATTGGTTCAAGTTGCAAAAAGTAGTGAGGCAGGGGTGCATTCTCTTACCATACCTATTCAATATATATGCAGAAAACATAATGATAAATGTCAGAAATGACCACATTTGTGACAGTTATGAACCACTCATAATTGGTGGCAACCCTATTCCAGAATTCGCTATGCAGGCGACACAGTCCTCCTTTCGAATAATGTAAAGAAAATAGAAAATTTAATCATATCTGTCTAAAAACATAGTGAAGATCAAAACCTATGCTTGAATTTGAGGAAAACAAAATGATGACCACAGACAAAACTGGCTGTAACCCAAAAATAAGAGTTAATGATGAAGAATTTGAAAATGTCACAAACTTTGAATATCTAGGCTCTATAATAAATACAGTGGAGACTGTTTGCCAGAAATCAAAAGGAAGATGGCCGTAGCAATGCAAAGATTTAAAAGCATTAACAGTCTATGATTAAAAACCACCAAGGAAATCAAAGTTAAAATTTTGAGAGCATGCATCTTCACTATAGCAACATACGGATATGAGTGGTGGATTATCTCTCAGTCCTTAAGAATGAAAATAGGTGCTTTTGAGCTATAGAAAGATTCTCATGGACAAAGAAGAGAAGAAGTACTGACATTTTTACAGATCTGAACATCAAGGAAGATTTGCTGATAAACAGCATCCTGTCTCGGAAGCTAAAATATTTTGGTCATATCAAACGCCATGACGGGTTGGAAAGGATAATAGCAGAAGGCATGTACCTTGAATATGAAAGTACACGGGGCGAGAGAACCGATGAGAGGCCGAGTTTTTTTCAGGCCGGCTTCTAGGAGAGGGACATTATGCAATGGACCTGCTACATGATGATGAATAAGGTGATGCATTAAATGGAATACATTCGCTAAGACTTTTAAAAAAAAAGACAGACATATGTATTGGGTGACTAATGTCGTGATCTCATGACTTCTATTAATACGGCCTACCTGAAAATTTGATGTCAACTTGGCTTTAAAAATGCTATTTGGCTTAAGCGAAAACCCGCTCCTAAAGCTGTTCTTAGTAAATATCTTCATATCCTGACCTCATAATAGTTTGCACATGCACAAACTCAGCCAGTGGTAGCATTAACGATGCATCTGGTAAACAGATCACAGCACGCTCAGTGAGCAACGCTGCCTTCTCCGTGACAGCCAGCAGCATGATGAGGGAGGTGATGGCATTAACGCAAGCATTTGCATGGCTCAAAAACACAGAACTGCACCCGTACATATGTACTCAGTAATTCAATAACTATGATTAGGAGGGTTCAGGCAGGGTCAGTGCGAAGGCAGTGGCTTCAGTCATTACAGAAGTCCACTGTGAGTGGAGTCACCTTTATTTTCTTTCTGGGATATGCAGGCATCAATTGGAATGAAATTGCTGATAGGTTGGCTGGATCCGCTTTTACTACCAATGATCAGCCTGTGGATCATTCTGATATTGTTTATGCCCTCAGAGAAATGGAAAGGGTTGAGGACTTTAGGGTTAAGGACTTTAAGGCTGCCTTCACTTCCCAGAACATTTCCTGATTTCCTTTTAACTTGGGTTGACCTAGGAACCAAGATCAGTTTTATAGAATCCATTCTGGTGCAGATACAAATCAGAGACCTTCGGCCTGGCTGCGTCTAACTACTGTGCAACAGGAGTTCCATCTAATGTCTTTTTTGCCTCCAAATATTTGAATATACTGACGTTTATAAACTTTTCATCTTCTGTTATAAAATAATTTGTTGGTGTTATCGTTATCTTTGTTGGTTTGTCGAATCTTATAACTGATGTGCAACTAATTATAAATCATCTCAAAGTTACATTCACTTGTTTAAAATGTTTCACATATTTTTTAATTGTTATATACAGGGGAGCCTTCCTTTTTTCTGCTGAGCAAGTTGATTGGTCAAGATTATGTGGCAGTATTTTTCAAAGTCTGAATGATAGAATTCTCCAAAGTGTGGTGTCACCTGACACTCTTTGGGTTGGACTTGAAGATGACTGGCCTGTGTATATGTCTGCACCACATCACAATGGTTAGTCACATTCCCTTTTTTATTTTCGTATGTGTACCTGCCTGCACCTCCTTTTCTTGCTGTCTGTACAGCCTGCATCTGCTCTATTTTTCCTTTGAGCTAAATATTCTTTTTCACATGACTTTTTAATGAAATAATTATTTTTCTTCTTATTTATTTTGTTTGTTTAATGTTTTTTTTTTTGGAAACATGTGCAGCTGGACACTGATTTCTTACCTTTGATAGTTTTGTCAATTTAGTTCTTTGTTCTTTTTGTACTATAACATTTTTATTGTAGAGTAAGGTAATTTAAATTGATTTTGCAGATATCTGGGACAATGTTATTAGGCTCATAATTTACACAGAGTAATGGGCCCAGCTTCAGTCTTTGCTGTTATTACTTTCAAATATAAGTCTCTGATACTTATTTTATTGAGGCTGAGTAATAGATTTTTATAGATCTTAAAACAAAACAGATTCGTGTTTTTCAGCAATTGTCATTAAAATGACAGTTGGCAAAATATATTGTGTTTTATAGCTCTGCTGTGATATCTGCACTTTTCGACCCAACACATTTGATTTCAGCAAACCTATAGTTAGTTGCTTTTTATTTTTATGACATGCTTGTTAGGTGGGGGGAGAGGAGGTGGGTCTTGTCTGTCTCCCAACCCAAAACAAAATGGGGCCTTGGAACACACCTGGCTCCTGTTAAACATCAGTGCTGAGGTCGATGCTTTGGTATGGGAATTCCAGTAATTGCACCATAGAAACACATTGTAGTGTGTTAAAATTGATAAGACAAATGGTCCCTGTAATTAATGATGGCCTGTATCTTACTGTGAGAGAATAACACTACTATTTAAATTGTAATATACACAGTCTGACAATTTAATAATGAGAATTTTATTATTGCCAAAACAAAAATGCCATCCATGAAGCAAATTATGTCATCCAAACAGGCAACATTCATCTATGATCTTGCAAAATTCAAATGCCATCCGGTCAGCAGATGTCAAGTAACCTCGCCATTCTGTTTAGCTTATGGCAGTTATGTCATTACAATATTGAGCCAAGATGAACATTAATTCTGTTTCAAACTCAAAAGCTGCTCTTGAGACAAATAAATTAATGAGATAAGTTTATGAGGATCAATATTTATCAAAGCTAGCATCATATTTATCTGCCGTCATCCTCACAATCAGACATTGGTCTTCATATATCCATTCTCTTGACTTTGGCAGTGAGTTTATCTTTATGAACAAAAATTGGATGTCCCGGTCTAGCATCATCCTCAGTATTTTCCGCAACAATTTTTTATGATGAATACCAACCACCTCATGCATAAGAAATATTGAAGACCCACATTATCAAACTTGTTGTTGTTTTTACCTTGATTTATTCAGAGCTGTCCAGCAGGGTATTAATGTATGTGTCTGACATCATCAACTTCAACATTAATCAAATCTGGGGTAAGTGTACCTTTTTTTTTTTCAATGTTTAAAATTATTCTTGTAAAACGTCTGGTTGTTTTGAATTCCTAGTTGTGAATTTGGGAATAGAATGGCTGAGTGAGTCAAAACTTTTTAGTTAATATACACTGAAGACACCACAGCTGCTAGCATGCTTGTCTATTATACTGGTGGTCATGTCTCTGATTCCTCTTCAAGGCGGGGACTTTTTCGTTGATGAGCTCCCGGATAGTCGAAAATTGGCACCAGAAAATTTCATGTTCAAAAAAGGTAACTGACACAATATTTACTACATAATTCTTTGAGTGCTTGTAAGTTTAAAAGTATGGTAGTATTAACATATACACAGAACACTTCAAATTACGAAAAGGAGTCTCTTATGTATTGATTAAATGTCATATTTTTCAGCAAATGCGAACATAGAAGTATTCTATTCAGACCACCTTATGTTACATCAAGAAATAAATGTGTATGCATGATGTGTGTTTCTTGTATGAATTAATGCAAATCTTGAATATTGATGCATTCTATTTATCATATGTAACTTTCATGCCCTTGCGGGATGCAATTTTTTATTTTGAAGCCCCACCCTGCCTTTTGCTGATAGCCCTAAATATGGCCTAGCGACTGAACAGGGTTTCCGGGACCGCTCCACGGGTGATCCTTATCCGCAAGGTGGCATTTTGGGTCACCGGGTGTTTATCGCTTGTGTGATGTCCTCGTGGGATTCAACTTACCTACCTACCTACATTCTATTTATATAAGTTGTCAGACATCTTTATTTGGTGAGCTTGTTATTGAACTTGTAAGGATGTCACATGACCTGATGTTTTATTCTTCAACCCTTTAGACTGGTTGTTTCCATGGGAACAATCTAAAAGTGATGATCCCTGGGTGCTGCTGGAGCTTACGAGGTCTAGCAACTTTTGGATCAGGCAAATGGGAGTCGCTTCCCTTGCAGATAAAGTTAACTGGCCTAGTAAGTACAAGGTTTTTTGTGATTACCATAGAACAGTCTCTCTTTATGTTACAAATATGGACTCGTATATAAAGTTTGTGGTTGTTGTAGAACTGTCTGTGTTACAAATATAGACTCGTATATAAAGTTTGTGGTTGTTGTAGAACTGTCTGTGTTACAAATATAGACTCGTAGACAAAGTTTGTGGTTATTAAGCCACAGGAAGGCTGCAGTGACCGCCTCCAACACCATTCTCAGACTAGATGTTGATGATTATCCCAAAATGGGAACCAGGAAATGACTTGAGAGGTAAAGGTTGTTGGCATGATGTTGACTACATCATCTATCAGGTGCCATTTGATCTATAAAAAATGTGTATCTTATGCCTAGTGCCTTAAAAGGCTCATGACTTTACTGTGGCTGTCTATTCATCAGGTTACAAATACAGACTGGTAGCTCAGGCTTGTGATCATCGTACAACTGTAGCACTGGCCAGATATCCTCATGCAAGTGATGCCTATTTTCTACCTCAACCAAGAATACATCCATCAAAGGTAATATAGGTCATTAGGCTTTATATTTATTCAATTTGTATTAACTAATATATTCTTCTAAAGTGAGGGTATAATTGTCTGAGCACTGAATTAGCAGTACTTTAGTCTCAGTTCAATCCTTAGTAGTGTCAGAATTCTTTTCCTAACCTTTAAAGCTCTGGGTTCACCTAACATCTAAAAATTGTTTTTGGGTAGTTATTTATTCACTTCCTTATTTGTGCATTGTTGCACATGTTATTTCATCTAACCTTGTGTCTTCTATCAGCAACCGTTCATTCATATATGGTTTTCAGTATGTCTCCTTTGTCCAATATGAGTATTCCTGAGGTATTGCTTTTGTAGCCAGCAAATCTGCTGTTTCATTTTCTTTCACCCCTGCATGTCACAGACAGTGTATCCACATGAGTCCCTGTAATGTTGACATGGTAAAGCTTGGTACCCACATTTGTCCTCTCGCAGTACTGACTGTAAATCAGAAACTATAATTCCTCTGGTAATTATATTTTCTGCCATCGATTTCAGAGCTGCGTTCATGGTTGTTCAATTTTGCAGTTAAATTATTTTCATGGGATGATGTATAATCAAGATTACACTGTTACCATTTTTTTCTTTCATAATGCCTGATAACACACTTGAATAAAAAAAAGTATCATTTTTGTTGCTTTTATTGCAATAACTATAGTAAAAACTGAAGAGCGGCTGGCTGAACAGTTAGGAATGCTAAGCTCGCATTCTGGAGAAAAAGGTTCAAATCCTCAGGGGAAGGGGGTGGGGGAGGCAGTCTTCTAACCTGAATCAGTGGTGGCTACACTAGCCATAGGATCCTAAATCCTCAGCCCAAAGACTTCCTGCCGTCACCTCATATTATGCAGCCATAAAATGGGGGTAAATAGAGGAAGTAAAGACAGTTTAATTTTTACAAATAAAACTGATAATTTAGTGACAAATTAAATTGCATTATTTTTGTAGTTTTTTATTATTAGGCAGATATTGATTGCTAGAATTGTTTGTCTTACAGTACAGTATTTTACATGACCTGAAGGACCAGCTGTCTAAGCTGCCTATGCCTCCCTCAGTTAATTCCTGCACCATGTATTATCGTTTTGTTTCACTGGATCAGGATTATATGTTTCAGGTAAGAGCAAGATAGTGGCAGTGGCTTTGTCAGAAAAATAAGTTTGTGTGTGTGTGTGTTTTTTTTTTATTGTTTTAATTATTGTTAAATGTTCTAAGGCATCCATCTGAATTTGAGACCAGTTTCTTTACAGAATGAGATTTTACAAAAGTGGAGAGATAATACAAAGGTAGACTCACACTTACTTACTTGAGGTCCCTAAGTGGAAAGAAAATGCCCATCACATAGATGAATGGAGATAGGTGGTATCTGTAGCAATTATTCTCAAGGGCTCGGAATGTTGAAGAAAAAAAAAGAAGTTCCAAGACATAATGAAAGATGAGAAAAAATATTTAATTATGAAGCATTACCAAAAAGGTGAGGAATGCCATATAAAACATTTAAAAAATTGGCATACGTAGATGTAAGAATCTGAACATGTGTGTAATTAATGAGAGCAACACCACAAATAACAATGGAATGGAATGTTCAGAAAGTTTCACAACCAAGCAGACTGAAATACTTAATGATGATGTTTAGAACCAATGTGAGGGGCTGTCATGGACAATAAACAATCAATTTAGATAACACCTACTGGCTGTGGAAGTGTGGTTTTTGAGAAGAATGCAGAGAATATGTGTGCTTACATGTGCATCAATGTTATCTAATACACTCCTGAAAAGGATTAAATTACCTGAAGAGAAACCTTGAAAATCCCTTGGAAAAAATTAGCAGATTGTCCTACAGTGCCTATGGATGTGCTAAAGTTAGCTACATTTTGAGAAAATTTTGTATTTTTTCTCCTAAATTTATGTTCATATGTGGCAGAACTGCAATCTGTTGACAGTCAAATATCCACAATGTGCAGTATCTACAACTCTACCAGCCTAAGCCAAATCCTGAACAAGCTGTATGTGTTCTGCAGAATCTTGAGGTTGTTACATCATCTTATTCATGATTCTTCTTAGTGATATAAATGTGCTGTGCTTGTCTGCTGCATAGCTACATATTTGTGCCTTTTGGTCGACACATTGGATGTCTTCCAGCACTTGTTTTCTGGGCTAACCTTCCTGATTAGTCTTTGAGGGACATTTTACAGCCTTATTTGTGGGATGACTTTATCATCCCCCAGTGCACTGGTATTGTCCCTAGAGCACTCTCCCTACAAATTATATATATATTTTTTTAGAGAATTTGGCATCTGCTGCTGCTTGGAGGTTAGAAAATCTTAAATTAGAGGCTCGAACTTTGTTTCTGAGGGAGGCAGTGCTGCAGTAACATCAGTTTGATTTCTCCATTTGGCTTCCAGTGTAGCTGCTTTATGATTGGGCAGACATTGATAACAGACTGCCAGGAAATGTCCATCAACCAGCATTGGTCTGCAGACACAGGTTGAAGAACATGGTCTTAAAGGATTCACCAGCGGACTAACCAACCAACCACATTTATGTTTATCCATTTCTGTAAATATTCCCAAGGTGCTGTCAGTGAAATTATAAAATTACATTTAGCTAATAATAGTTATTGGGAGCCACTGTGGTGTAGCTGCTAGATGCTCACTGATGCGGATCTGAAGGTTGACCTAGCCCTAAATGGGTACCAGGGAAAATCCTCGGAAGTAAAGGCAGGTGATGTGATGTTGACCGAATAACCCACCGAGTGCCGATTGGTCTATAAAATATGTCTTGCCTTATATTATATATTCAATATGCTTAAAGGCATGGAAAAGGGTCCTTTACTCTGCTTTACTTTCTTATAATAGTTATTGCTTATTTTTACTGTGTTGTATTTTGACAGAAAGACCTTTTGGGGATGGATTTCTTAGCGCACAGCTATACCCTTCCAGGAGAGGAGGAAAAGAAGAATGAACAAGCAATAGGATTTTGTTTGGAGGGTATTTCATCATACACATCTGTAAGCTGACCTTTTATTTTATGTACTTTACCTGTTCCTTACCTAGTCTTAGTCGAGGTTTCAACTTCACTGCAATTGAGTTCTCTCGATGAGTCCAGTGAGTCTTCCTGGGGCAGTAATGCCTCAGTAGTGGAGTGGCTAGCATGCTTGCCTGCAGGTCACTGGTTCAAATCCAAATGAGGCATATCAGTTAGAGGTTTTGGAGAGATGGGAAATGAAAAGAGAGTTGCCGCTAGGAAAAAATTGGAGACATGTAATATTTCAGTGACAGTAAAAGACATACCGTTCTTTTAAAAACCATAGTTTAGGGAAATTTTGTTAGATAATAGAGCAAAAGGTAGGCAGCAGTACAAATGAGAGGACAACATTAGAACCTGGATAGAGAGTGTATAACCAAGACAAGAGAAAGTATTAGAGATTCATTGCAGCCAACCTACACTGTGGAGATGACAACTAATTGATTGACTTATCTCTGATTGGCAGAAGATAATATCACACATGTTTGGGGAATTGTTTGATAAGCAGTGAGTTGAGGTGTGGCTAATAGATTTCTTGCAGGAGCTCCTCTAGTTGTAATCTACTTTATATTAGCGATCAGGCACATAAAACATCAAATAAGAAAGAGCATTCACGCTTGACAAGACTGATGTGGTGAGCAGAGTGTCTGAACTGTAGGAAGAAAATAGGTGGACCTGTAGTAAGCTTGCTACTGGGCACGTGCAGCATGGGAACTCTTTGTTGGGTACAGAAGAAGGGAATTAGTACATTTTGGGAATGCCCAATTGCAGTTATGTCAGATCTTCATAGTTTGGGTTTTCAGCTTAGACGGACACGTTTTGAGGGGGAAAAAAAGAAGGGGGGGGGGGGGGTGGTTCAAGCAGTTTTGAAATTGATTTCATTTGTACTTGTAAACAAAACAAGAGTGATCTCCACTCTGCTTTGTTCAACTTCAGATGAAAAGTAGCAGAAATTATCAAGACGAAATAATGTCCACCATCACATTGATATTTTAACACTAAAAATAAAACCAGTTGATGATGATTGCTTCTTTTATTTTATTTGACGCTTTGATTTATTTGGATGCTTTTCTCCAATCCTGTTAATAGTTTTTGGGATTTTCTTTTTGTCCTCATCTTTTCAGTCACATTTTTTTGCAGTTAGTGGGGTAGAGGTGTCCTTGTCATATCAAGTGGAGCATCACCTGAAAAAAAAGTGTTAGCCACTGATTCAATAATTATTTCATTATCTTGACTGGGTGAAACATAATTTTATAGTAAAAGTGAAGGGTCCTTTTTTTTTCAGTTAGCACTCAGTGCATGATGTTAAACAACATCATGTCTGAACATAATGTTATGCTTTGGTTATATTTACTATGTTTTGGATGGTTACAGTTTATTATAATTGATTACATTTCTAGGATCCACAGTATGCAACAATGTTTGTGGAAAATTGTGGTTTGGCAGTACTGCAACAGTTACTAGAAGAAATACCAGAAAATTGGGTACAACTTTATGTTGCCACCATCTTGTCAAATCTGTCAATGGTACCTGATTTATTGGATGCCATAGTAAGCACAGGTGAGGAGCTATAGGACTGTGTTTTAATTTATCAGTGAACTCAACATTTTAGAATGCTAGTCATGTGACAAGTGAATGAATGAATAGTGGCTCCTAAACTGATATTATAGAACAACCATCGGTGTACACTTCTGCATCATATAGCTCAGCGTTTTCATCTATCAGTTGTGTACCTCTATTTGAGTTAAGTTGAGTCAAGAATTGACATCACAGCACTCGGGGCATTCCCATATGTGCTCCGTCCTCATCTTCAGCAGCCAGCGCAGAGTTTAAATACTGATGGTACGGGTCACAGTCTGGTTATGTGTCTGTTTTGCCTTTCCTCTGAGTGTAGTGAGTCGGCTAGACCCTCTTGTTACACCCAGGTGCCTCATTCTCTCCAGGCCATAATAATAATCTTCTTTCTCTACTGATTCCGCTGCTTGTTTACAAAGGGCCTGTGTACCTCTAATTCTGCCATAACATTACGCTACTCTCTACATTCTTTTCTAAATCTGATAATGACCCAAAGGAAACTGCTGTTTTATCCATTCATGTTGACTCATTCCTGACCCCTGTATTTACTTGTCTGAGGGCATGAGCCCAATGGTATCTTCAGATTTTTAGCTAGTTCCATCCATGACTTTCCTCTTTTCAACCGGTCCCCTCTAATAAAATATTTCAGATTGCCATACATGTATATAAAGCTGTAAGTTTCAGGTCCATTTCCACACGTGTCTGATTGTTGCGGTTTTTTTTTTCTTCAGTTATGATTTTTACTGATTTTTTTAAGTAGTATTATAGTTGTTTTTGTTCAGCTCCTGTATTTCCATGGTGCTGATGTAGTTGTAATATTTCTTGGCCTCTTCTGTTGCATGTACTATTGAGGTTGGGTCTACGTACTTCGCTTGTGGTCAAGGAGCAGTAATGCAGCTTTGTCACTTCTTGCCCTCACAACCTTAGCCAACTTGGATAGGGACTGGATCTACCGGGATTTTTACCAGGATATGGTGCTTTTACATCCAACACAGAGAAACAGGTGAGCAATGAGCATCTTGTCTAACACACCGCATCATCTTTAGTAATCTCACTCTTATAGTCGTAATTAAGTGCCTTATTGAAATGAACTGATAATGTAATCTCGCATCTGGTTCTCAGAGTGCTGTATTTATTTGTTTTAAATATAAAATGATCTTTGAATAAAATTTCCTCTTCTTCGTGTTCACTGGCTGGAAACTTCAGTGGAAAGATCTGGGGCTTCTTGATTAGTATTGAGTTTTGTGTACATGTCCATTTTATAGATCTGACTTATTTATATGCAGACTGTTGGTTCCCTGTCTCTCAGGCAGGCAGGCAGATGCACTCTGACTTTGAAGGAGACACCCCCAGTTAGTTGGCATTTACGACCTGCTTGCTGGGAAAGGGGGGGGGGGGGATGTCATTGGATATCTTCTCTTTTTTTCTTCACAAAGGAGCCCCGGAACCACACAAGGAGAATCGGATGTCTATAAGATGGTTAATATTTGATAAGTTATCTTGTACATATGCCCACTCTTTATTTGAGGTCTTTTCAGTTACAATTCAACATTAATTGTCCCCTTCAAATCAAGCCAAGCACATGTGGTCCTTTTATGGGAAGGTGAATGGAACTTTCATGCATATGCATGCATTTTTCCTGCCTGCAGAGCCAGTGAGTATTAGTAAAGTGAACATCCAACCGATTTTCCTTTGCCTCAAATTTATAGAAAGCTGTGAACGACAGTGTTAGATTAGACAAAGCACTTGGCATTTCCCAGTAGTAACTGGTTAGATCATTAAACAGGCTCTTGATGATGATCCAGCAGATTGAAGAATGTTATAATTGCTTCCAAGATGGTTTTATGTTACAGGAGAGCAGACCATCTAATAGGCCCTGAATAACTTCAGCTTGTTTTCACTGGAACTACTCAGTGCAGATAGGTCTAAAGCTGATTATTTTAAATATTTTGCTTATGTATCACATCGGCGACCGGGTTGACCATTGGCTGGCTGGTTGACCATTGACTGGCTGGTTGACGACTTCGTCGCCTGTCGGGACAGTATTTGGGTCTGTCTCCTTTGATCGCATCAACACTGCAGGAGTCCTTTTCAGGGCTACATGGTGGTGAACAATGCTAAGCCATTTTAAATGGCGCACATAACCTAGTCACAGTTATAACCTAAAGCTCTCCCTTTGGGGACGCTGGTTAAACATGACAAATTTTTTTTTTTTGCAAAGCAAGCTTGTGCGTGATATTTAGAAGAAAAACAAATTTGTCTACATTACATGTCTAGAGCCTCATGAGATTTGTGTGTGTTTTTGTGTGTGTGGCTTGTTTACTAATTGTCCAGGATTCACAACCATTTGTTATTTTATTTTATGAAGGGATTGTAGTGAAGTTTTATTTTTTGGGTTTTTACTTACGAAATTATAACAGCTAGATAAAAATTAAAATTACAAATCCAATGGTACCTCATTTAAGCCTGTAAGTCGATTCTAAGCGGAGATATTAACATTTTAGTGGCGGACACCACGACAGAAAAATTGTAGTGAAAATCCAGAAAACATGGCTTCCGGCTGCGACCCAGTGAGATGAAATGACTCAATGTTTGATTTTACGGCCATAACTTTTTTGTTTCTGAACTAATCCCTTAGCAACCAAATATTGCTGGAAGCAGGACAGTTAGAACTAACTGTCTATGCACGTTTTAAAAACATATAATACATTATGCACCTAATTAACATATGAAAATGGCGGCCAGCTCACTATTTTCAAGCAAAACATTATACCTATATGGTTATCTGCCAGCGAGCCTGGCGACATGCATATCAAATTGTGCGTCCTGACAAGGTGAACACAAAGATCATAAAAATATACCAAGGTCAGTCGACGTAACCTAATTAACATATGAAAATGACCGCCAGCTCACTTTTTTCAAGCCAAACATTATACCTGTAAGTTTATCCGCCAGCGAGCCTGGCGACATGTATATCAAATTATTCGTCCTGACAAGGTGAACACAAAAATCATAAAAATATACCAAGGTCAGTCGACGTGACCTAATTAACATATGAAAATGGCCGCCAGCTCACTTTTTTCAAGCCAAACATTATACCTGTAAGTTTATCCGCCAGCGAGCCTGGCGACATGTATATCAAATTATTCGTCCCGACAAGGTGAACACAAAGATCATAAAAATATACCAAGGTCAGTCGACGTGACCTAATTAACATATGAAAATGGCCGCAAGCTCACTTTTTTCAAGCCAAACATTATACCTGTAAGTTTATCCGCCAGCGAGTTTGGCGACATGCATATCAAATTATTCGTCTCGACAAGGTGAACACAAAGATCATAAAAATATACCAAGGTCAGTCGACGTGACCTAATTAACATATGAAAATGGTCATCAATTGACTTTCTTTCAGCAAAAACCTTATACATTTACAGTTGTCTGCCAATGAGTTTTGTACTGGAACCAACAGGGGCATAAAAATATACAAAGACCATAAAAACACATGCAGAAGGGAGCTAGAAAGTGAAGTTAACAAGATGGGGAAGACACTAAGAGCAAATGTAAAAGCAATGACTATAATGACAGCGTGAGTTGATTGAGGACTAATGCCCCATTAGGGCATAGAAGCAGAAGAAAAAAGACACAGTTTGGCAATATGTTTTTGACAAAATTAACATAGAAAGCATATGAATGTGAATGTCTTTACTACACGAAGCACCTAAAAGTATCAATTAGTAATGATGCCACAGTGAGAAATGAATGATAACGTGCATACATGAGGGATAACAATAAATAGCACTAATGTTCTTACATTTGAAAAAAAGGGAGATTGAGATAGATACATATGAAATGTAGACACAGACAGAGACAGCATGGATGATTGATATACCGTGGGATTTTGATTTGATTATACATTCACCACAGCTTCACACATGCTGCTGCTATATCTATAAAGCCACTATGGAAACATCCATCTGGCAGGTGGAATAGTACAACAAGGATCATTGTTATACAGTGTTGTTTTCATATACATATCACTGCTTCTCTCTTGTTGTGTAGGAGTACATAAGACAACAGTCTAGGCATACACTAACAGAGACAGCCTGGATGATTGATATACCGTGGGATTTGTATGTTATTATACATTCACCACAGCTTCTCCGGAAAACAACTGCTATTGTGTAATTTAAAAAAAAAAAAATAATTGTAGTATCCATGTTTGCCCAGCATCCAAGAGCAAAACTGGTATGCATCATGACCAGTCGACACACAGAGGACTGTATTTAGTGAATAGAAAATCACACAGAGACAGCTTAAAATTATATGGGATCTGAGCAAATTGAATGCATGAGACAGCAGAGCCAGGGAATACCACAGGAGAGGACATACAGTGGGGATAGCAACAAGTCGAAAGACAGAGACAGGTAAAAAATGAAAAGAGGCAGTAACCCAGAGAATAACAGTCATGAAAAAGTCACACACTAAAAATGAATATAAAATAAAGTTACCAATACAATATACAATAAGCTAACTCACTGATACATTGATAAACACTCAAAACCATTTGATGTGTTGCAGCACAAAACAAATGACACCATATATCAAAATTAGGTGTACCTTCAGTATTTGTTAAACCTGCCAGTAAAGCAACTAAGGTCACTTTTGAAATGCCTTTTCCATATAATACCAGCCCGTGAGACAGTGTGAGCTCAACAGCTCTTTTATTATAAATCAAAACCAATAATAATAATCTTCTTATTCATGTAAGACATACTAATGGACGATGGAAACACTGACCACAAGTACATACAATTTTACAAAAATGATAAATCCCCCAGTGCGAAGTCGACTAAAAACTGTTTAACATTCATACTACAAAAGTCACTTGATGGCTCATCATGTTCTCTCCAGTACCACAAATCAATAACTTTCTTACATATATCTTTTGTTTGTGTGGTTCCCACATTCCTAACCATCTCAAAGTAAACACAGTCCTGGCCCTCTTGATGCCAAACATGTTGCAGTATTACATTGGATAAACTTGCATTATCAGTTAAAAACCTCTCTAAATGAATTGTGGACGTACTATCTAAATCATTTAGTGCCAGAATTTGTGAAATTCGTGATCAAGATATGGGTAGGTAAAAATATCTCCAACATAAAATTCTGTAAACTCTAAATAATGACAAACGTATGCAAAAATGGTACAATGTTTGTGGATGTTTAAAAAGTAACTCACATAACATTGCCAATTTACTAAGCATCCTAAGTTAATTACTAAAGAATCATCTTACCAATGATGGCCTAAATTAATTATTGGGATTTGGGGGTGATCAAGCAAAAATATCTCCAACAGAGAATACAAAGGGCTCTAAATATTGACAGATGCATGAACAAATGCTACAATGGTTGTGGATTTTTTTAAAAATGATTAAAATAACGTTAGGTAATTTAATAATTATTTTAAGTTAATTATAAAGCGGCAAAAACGGTCTCTTAGTGCAATCATATTGGATTTGAAGCGAAAACAGTGATGCCACTAAACACTTTTTTTAAACATGTGCTGTATTGCCAATCTTTGTGAAATTTCCCACACTTATATAAAAATTAACGCAGAATTCAAAAATACACCACACATTGCGGTAATCTGGCTAATTAGGAAGATATTTACGAAATTACTTACCGTTATTGGATTTAAAGCGAAAACAGTGATGCCACTAAACAATTTTTTTTTTAAACATGTGCTGTATTGCCAATCTTTGTGAAATTTCCCACACTTAAATAAAAATTAACGCAAAATTCAAAAATACACCACACATTGCGGTAATCTGGCTAATTAAGAAGATATTTACGAAATTACTTACCGTTATTGGATTTAAAGTGAAAACAGTGATGCCACTAAACAATTTTTTTAAACATGTGCTGTATTGCCAATCTTTGTGAAATTTCCCACACTTTTATAAAAATTATCGCAAAATTCAGAAATACACCACACATTGCGGTAATCAGGCTAATTAAGAAGATATTTACAAAATTACTTACCGTTATTGGATTTGAAGCGAAAACAGTGATGCCACTAAACATTTTTTTAAAATATGTGCTGTATTGCCAATCTTTTGTGAAATTTCCCACACTTATATAAAAATTAACGCAGAATTCAAAGATACAATACACATTGCGGTAATCAGTCTAATTAAAAAGATATTTATGAAATTACTTACCGTTAATTCACTGCGTGCTGCCAAAAAAAATCGATTTATTTTATACGCTTCAAAACTATCTCAGGTCAAAGCCTGGCATCTTTCCAATAACTCATAACTGTTCCGATTTTATCTTTCACGTAAAGAGCACAGAAAAATAAATTCTTAATAACGGACAATTCGTTTTGCATTATCGGGTCGCAGTTGCGTCTATAGATACCGACAAAAATTTATAGCAAAATAAACGAAACAAAACTACTCATTGCTATACCTAATGTTACATTATAATCTTTAAATATAGTACGGCATGTTTCTCAATATTGTGTTAAAGCAAAATTGGTAGTTTGTTGAATATATTTAAATGTACCACTCTTGCTTATTTAACACTATTTTTAATGTGTTTTGAATGGAGTCGTAGTTACACTTCTTTATGTTGTTGTCTTTCTTACCACAGCCAGCCATTTTATGCTGATGTTGTGCTTGTCCATGGGTTGAGAGGAGGAGCTGTGAAAACCTGGAGGCAAAGGGATCCGGATAAAGACAATCAACAGAACCAATGTGTGTGTTCTCCGTGCTGGCCAAAGGTACATTTTATTCCTTTAGAAATTAAATTGTAGATAAACTTGCCTTGTCTTGCTGTGACCCATAATTTAGGAGATCACAAAGTCTAGATCTGTTTATTTTGTCAGGGGTGCAAAACATTTTCTTAATGGTGTCTGTGAGTGACTATCTTTTTCTTTGTCATCTTATAATTTAAAATTTCCTTAGGGCACCCCACTCATTCTTACTGCACTCTTTATTTATTGTTTTTAAAAAAGGAAGACTGCCTCTTAAGCAGCATTTGAGTTTCTGCCAGATATTTAGTGTCCCATTCTAAATATCTTTACAGTGGATTTGTAATCTTTCTCCTTTAAATTTAGTGTCTTGCACTCTGAAGGTTTACATTTCTGCTTCAGTACCCTTTATTCAGTTCAGGAATTCATGTGTTTCTAAATGCTTCTTTGGTTTTCAGTGAAGCTTTGGAGTTTACGGAAGCATTCTTAGCAGGCAGAAAACTACTTTACAGAGAGCGCCTGGACCATATTTGATACAGCTAGGCAGGTGCGCCGTCAAGAAGTTAACATTATTTGCGCTTTATTCCTCCCCACCCTCCAAGTTAAGAAAACATTTGGGAGATGGCTCGGTCTCACCAGAAACCCTGCACTCCTGACCACCTATTTAAAAATGTAGCTCTCCCTCAACTCCGCCCACCCCCATTAGTTAAGAAAACACTGGGAAAACACGCTCTCCTCCCCGCTTTCCAAATTGTGTAGACAAAAAAGTGAGGAGGTGGAGGCTCAGCACTCAAGTCCTCGAGTGCCAGGAAATAAATTGTGTCTGCTCTGACAACATTTGTACACTAAAGCAGGCATTCAACATCTTGAATGATTGAACGAGATGAACACACAGCTAATTTATCTGTTACATACAGCTGTCTCCGTGCCAGTGCACACAGAGGAAACTGTCCAGGAGACCACAACTTGGCAGTTGACAGCAACACATCAATTCTAACAATACTGCCTTCACAGCAAAACACAAATAGACATTCTCACATCGACAGCTTGACAGTAACCTTCCACGTTGAACAGCCACAAACACAAAATCCAGTCTTGACCAGAAATGTCAGACCAAACGGGTAGCTAGTTTTGCCTCGCAACTCACAACCAAATATAATTTAGTTGTTTATTTGTAGTTGGATTCATTCAGTAATCTGTCTCTCCATACCAACAGACACACCGTTCCTGGATCCCAAATCAAGACTGATCATTCTCGATCATTCCTGACTTGAGTAATCTTTCTCTCCCACGTGTTTAAAAAAAATTCAGCTCACGTAATATCTGATCTGTTTCATCTGGCACGATCTCGTCAGTCTGCCCGTTTGTCTTGCATTCAACATGCATCTGGCTTCGTCCTTAACCTTATTCACCTGAACTTAAGTACATAATTTATGTTCAGTAATTCATCATTATCAGGTGCCTTGCCGACTGGCGTGGGCGATCATGCCTCTCCATAATCTGCGATCTCCTGCAGCATGTATCAGTGTTCAGTAATTAGCCTCATTATTAATGCAAACATTAATTATCAGGAGAAAATGACTCCTTACTGCCATGGTTCACCTTTTAAAATATGTCTAGAATCAAAGATCAGGACTCAGTTGTCCTGCCCATGTCATGCACTCAAACTGTCCAGTTATTTATCTCTTTGTCTTCTCCTTTTTTTTCCCCATCAAGTTTACCAGTTGTCACTAAGTCTTCAAGTTAATTTGTCATTATAATGAAATATCTATAGTTACCATTAAAGACATAATTGTAATCTCAGTAGAAGATAAATTGCCCATGTGGGTTCCATTGCCCTATTTTAGAGGAGGAAAGGGGGACATACTACCTCCAGCAAGCCAGTCATAAAAGATGACTGATTAAGAGTGTTCTGGGATTGGATGTGTTGGTTTGAAAGACACGTATATTGAGGCCTAGCTGTAAATCACAACACAAAATGCTAACTACTCCTTCAGGGGAGAACAAAGAAGAAGCTGAGTGTGTAGTGTTGAGCTTTTGACATTGGAGGTTATGGTCATCATGAAACTGTTCCTGTTTTCTTATAGGACTGGCTTGCATCAGATTGCCCCAATCTGCGGATAATCAGCATTGGCTACAACTCTTCACTGCACAGATGGGGCGACAGTTGTCCGTATGAACAGGAGAAGTAAGAGTCACAATTCTTTTTTGCCTTACTGCGTATGCTGTAAAGTATCGCACAGAGGAGTTAGATGTAGTTTCTCTCTTTTGCTGGTTGCTCAGCTTGTATTAATGTTAAATTACTATAATATCTTGGACAAATAAGAGGAGAAATGCTGACATCTTGAAAGATCTGAACATCAAGGATGATTGGCTAAAAAACAGCATTCTGTCTCAGAAGCTGAAATATTTTGGTCGTATGAAGCGCTGAAGATGATCACAGCATGTGATTCTTTGATGTTCTGTGAAATCATTTACTGGCACTGTGCCCACCATTGTTCTTAGTTCTTCATTGGTGACTCTGCCTCTTGTTTATCTCCATCTCATTTCTCATACATATAATCTCATACGCTGTATTTTTGCATTTATGGTTTTCTAGGGCTGTGCATGTCTTGCACAAAGTTGGTATGAATAGTTCATTTATCGGCTGCTTTAAAAAAAAATGTGTGCATGTTAATATTTTTATGCCTCAAAAGGGGCACTGTTTGGTAATTTATGTTGTTGCCTTCTGTATTCTGTTTTCTTTTTCTCTTTCCTAGGTGCTTGAACTCCTTAGCTTGTTCAAACATCTCTTCTGCAACACTGATGATATGTTGAATCACAGTATCTATTTTACAGTATCCTTAAGAAACCTGTTGTGCTAGAGGGAATTTTAGAGGTGCATTTTTCCGACACAAGCTACTTTATTGTACTTGTAAAATTTGCTTATTTTGTTACTTTGTATGCTCATATGAGCGGTTAATATTTTAGCTGGATAAGCATTTAAGGAGTTCAACTGAAGTAGCCCAAGCCCAAATAATAGCAGCATTTCTTTTTTCTGTGTTTACGGCTGTAAACTTCAGCAGAATGCCCTGGTTGTTTTGACTTTGGCTTTGTGCCAGGGCCTGAGTTTTGCGTGAACATCGTTTTACTGGCTTATTTGTGTGCATTTGGTTGTTTCTTGCCGCTTGGGCGGTGGACTTCGACTTCACAGGAACCCCCAAATTTGTCAACTCTTTCGACAAGCTTTTTCTTGTTTTCTCCACAATGGGGCCCTGGAACCCTAATGAGGAATAGCATCATTTAACTGGATGAGTGTAGAGGAACAAACAAATCCTTACGGTCTGAGGAGAATGACGCTGCGAGGAGTTACAAGGAGATCTGGCCGACGCTCGACATTCAGGAGACGGATATACAATCAGACAGTTACTGGTACTATTGGAATTTTAACTCTTAGCTTGCTGCTGAAGATGGGGACGGAGCGCTTATGGGTGTGTCCCGAATGCTGTGATGTCGATTCTTAATTCAACATTCAACTGAATGAAGAAAATTATGTGCAGTCTACCTATGTTTGAAAGAAATAAAATCTCAAAGTGAATATTGAGAGAGTCTAGAAGTGCTGGATTGGGTTCCATTCGTGATATCAAAAACATTGCACAGAATCAAATGGAATGGAAGAATAGACTATGAGCCCCTATGGTAATTTCTTTGGCCATTTGGGAGTCTGTAATTGCTATAAGAGCCAGTGCTGATGTATGTTAGCAAATCATAGATAGCGCATAACTGAGAAATTATGTAAAATCTGCAGATAGACATACCTAGAGGCTGTAGACAGATTTCTTGTAGTAAATTAACTCCTGTTTCGTAAGATATTTAGGACATTAAGAGACATTATGATTTGTTTATTTCATTTGAAAGGATTCATGTTTTTTTTTCATAACTTTTTTAACCCTGGAACACTAAAAAGAATAGGTCATGATTATGTTAAAATTCCAGAACAATTTTCACATAGGTCGCTAATAATTTTGTTAAAAATTTATTTAACTACATTTTAATGTTTTTATTTTTCAAAATATAAAACGTTATATGAAAGAAGTGATCAGTAAACATGAACGGAGTGAAGCATTAAATCGGATAATCTTGCAGAGCACACTACACTCAGAGGAAAGGCAAGATGGATATACAACCAGACTACAACTGGCACCATTAGTATTGAAACTCTGAGCTGGCTGCTGAGGATGGGGACAGAGCGCATATGGGAATGCCTTGAGTACTGTGATGTCAATTCTTGACTCAACTCATCTCACAGAGCCACACAAAAAAACACATAATGGGTAACTCATGCCGTGGCCTTTTATACCTGTTTAATGCTTCATTGTGTTCATGTTTATTAATTACCCCGTTATATATCATTATATATTTCAAGAAAAAAATTAAACTAGATTTTTAAAAAAACTTTTTAAATTTATTAGTGACCTGTGTAATAAAACTTTTTTTTAAAAATGTGTTAGTGACCTGTGTAATATGATGTTGGAAATGAGGGTGAGTTCCCAGGAATCCCAACGGGTTTCCCAGTATGACGAGTTAGGGTGAAGGGCCAGTCAAGCGAGGAAAACCTGGAAAAGGGACACTTGCAAATTCTCGTGTTTAAATGAATAATTGCAAGTAAAAACCCATGGCATGAAAACAAAGGTTTTGAAGCGAGAAATTAGGAAGGTCAATTCGTGTTTGACAGCAGGGGTTAGAGGTCGAGTTATGCGGGAGGAATAACTGTCATGAAGTGATTGCTTCAATGTGAAGAAGTCCCTGACATCCGAGGAAGAATTTCTGAGTAGAAGCGATCCTGAATTGACACCCTAAGTCTTCTTTTCCTCCACCTTGTACCTCATCGAAGTGTCGGGGGGAGATGTACGCTGATGAGCTCTGTCAAGAGCACTATTAAGACTGATGTTCATTTCTGTAAGGCTGTTCTTAATGCCATCACTCCATATTTTCCGAGGTCTTCCACTCGCTCTATACCTGTTGTAACGTTTTAGTGTGGCTCGCTGTGGCAGATAGTACCAGGGCATTCTTGTTAGGTGTCCAAACCACTTTATTTGTTGTAAATGCTGCATAAGATCGAAGGCAGGGTTGTCAAGAACTTTTATAGTGAACTCTAGTGTGCGTCAGGGCTGTGTACTATCGCCGCTTCTTTTTATAACATACATGGATACCATATAAAGCAAAGCAAACTTTAATCATGAAGAAGATATTACAGAATTACTATTCGCTGACCACCAGGTACTCATAGCAGAAAATTCGAAATGCCTCCAGAACCACCTAAATCAAATTAGTAACAAAGGGGAGGAATATAATATAAAAATAAACACTACGAAGACAGAGACAATGATGATAGGAAGAAATAAAGACAATTTAGAAATAACATTTAAAAAAAGACACCCTGAGTGATTGAAGATTTGTGGCGCTGTGTTGGAGATGCAAGTCATTCACCTAAATGGAAGGCATGTAACAAAAGGTAAGTACGTTCGAAGTCAAGTGTTGAGTTTGATGTAACAGTACCTACGACTGACCCTTAACATGTCGAGTCAGAACATTAATTTAACACCTGACTAGAGGGGACACCAAAGTTGCTTAGAAGTCTAACTAGAAAATAAGACAGCATCATCGCAGGATAGGGGGTTTCTTAGACATGATCTTTTTCCCTGGAAATTCCCACAGGTTTGTTCAGGACAAAGGGGTGATAAGTCATTGTCTTCTGATAATCTCTCACAGGCGGACAATTGATGGACGAAGCAGAGAATTGCTGAAAAAGCTACAGAAGGCTGGAGTGGGCTCCAGACCCATTATATGGATAGGGCATTCAATGGGAGGTATGTGAGTTCTGTGTTTAGTATCTTCAGTCATCTCTTCTGTGTGTATTCCTATTATGTATATAGAACTTTCAGTGAGGAGCAGTTCATTTCTGAATTTAACTAATTCAGTTTTTCACATTTGTGTGTTATAAACTATTTCGTATTACTGCTGCCATTTGTGGATTGGAGGTTCCAACACAGTTTGTAATTCTGAAATACCCGGAGCAGACAACTTTGCATTGATTTTGACAGTGGTATGGAGAGATGCTGTTCAGATAGCAACAGTAAACTACTGAAACTAACATTTCCTTGTGAAACCACAAATGGCCAACATTTGCTGGGGGTTGGTTTTTTAATGTCCTGTATTGCTGGTGTCATCACATTCCTGACAGGTGGCCGGTTTATTTAACGTCGACCTCAAGAATTAAATTTAGATATTTATGGTTCTTGGACAGAATATGAAATCAGACGAATGCTAGGAATAAAGCCAGACTTGCAGTTCATCAAAGAACAACAAATGAAGTGGTTTGGACACCTAACAAAAATGCCTTGGTACTATCTGCCACATCATTATAGTGGGTATAGAGTGAGCAGAAGACTTCGGAAAAGATGGAGTGATGGCATTAAGAACAGCCTTACAGAAATGAACACTAATCTTAAAAGCTCTTTTGACAGAGCTCATCAATGAAGGCTCTCCCCCTCGCCGACACTTCACTGAGGTACAAGGTGGAGGAGAAAAAAAAGATGACTCTTGAAAATTATGATTATTCTTGTAAAACATTACAGAACAGATTGTTTTCTGTGTAGGCCTGTTGATAAAGCAGATCCTCTGTACCGTTTGAAAAAAGTACTTTCAAAAGATACTTTTCATGCTGTAGTATTTTCAAAAGATACTTTTCATGCTGTAGTAATTTCAAAAGATACTTTTAATGCTGTAGTAATTTCAAAAGATACTTTTCATGCTGTAGTAATTTCAAAAGATACTTTTCATGCTGTTGGCATATAGTGCTCAACCTTTTTATTTATTTATAGACCAATCAGTACTTAGTTGGTAATGTGGTCAATATCATACTGGCTGTCTTTACTTCCCATGGCATTTCCTTGTAAAAATTTTAGGCTTGTTAGGCCTGGGAGCCCTTAGTCATTTATGGACATTTTCCATTTATATATTTCTGCCTTTGAAAGTTTTGAAACATTGTAATTATTTATGTAAGTCAACACTGACTGCATTCCTTTTCTGTGTAGGTCTGTTAATAAAGCAGATCCTGTCTCTGGGCCAGCAAGAGAATGAGTTTTCCCAGTTTGCATCTCAGACCCAGGGAGTGATCTTCTACAGCGTCCCCCACCATGGTTCCTCTGTGGTTGATGTTCTGATGTACGCCAAGTATCTGCTGTTTCCTTCTGTGGAGGTGCAGGAAATGCACACACGTAAGGCTTTCACGTTTTAATTTTTAATACTTGAGAGAAAGACCACAAATCAGATAGTTTTGCCCACCTAGAGAGAATGCCTTGTGATGACATACCCCTACATGGCATACACCAAACGAGGATTAATTCACAGGGTAGACGAAGAACTAGATGGAAAGACAACATTGGGGAAACTTTACAACTTCACGATGTGTTATGGTCAAGGCAGCCAGAAGAGCAGGAAGCAGAACCTTCTGTCCCTCTCGACACCTGAAGCAATAAAAGAAAGTCAAGAAATGATTAAAGGTTTAAAGATGAGAGGATTCATTTAACCAGGTGTTATCCCATTTAGCTGCAGTCGATAAGAGCTTTAGAGCAGGAGATAAGCAACTTAGCCGCTTTTCTGAGGAGATCCCTTATATTGATTAGTGCACTTGTACATCAAGGTTAAAAACATTTACGCACGGCAGAGATGTGATTTTTTTTTCTATTATAAGAATGCAAGGAAATCATGGAGGGAAAGAAAAATAAAATGAAGCATCCTCGTTGACACAGAGGAAGGTCATTAACTTATTACAACAATTAGACGTAGACAGTCGGTGTTTTTGGATCATATTAGGAAAATGAATGGACAAACTTAGTAACAATCAACAAGATTGAAGGCAAAATAGCAAAGGAATCAATACCTGGAAAGCTTAGCCAGATGGACGGGGCAAGACAAAAACATTGACCGGATCCGTGATTATGGTGATCGTATGAGATGGCAAACTTGACAGCCTATGCTTACTGGCACGGCACATGATGATAATACTAAGGTTAGGTTAGTTTCGTATCCTTTACAAGACGTTGCAGAACCAACCCCAACAGCCCCTGGCTATTGTGTGGTTTTTCTAGGCAAATTTAGTAATTTGTCATTGCTTTCTGGATGGTCGGCTTTCTTGATACCACTGTCGAAACCAACGCAAGGCGCGTGGCCCGCAGCTGGGATCGAACCCGGCATTACGAAGCGTTCGCATCGACTTAGCTACAGAGTTGACTAATACCAAGGTAGTGGTCCAAATTAAATCTCCATTGGTGGCAGGATTATTTTGTATGCCTGATATTGTTGTGGGTTCACTTAACTTTATAAAATGAGTAGTGAACAGTTTTTATGAGAAGTGATCAGAAAACAAATTCTGATTATCTTAAAGATTAAACAAAAGGATTTATTACTTTGGAAATAAAGTTACTTCGGATGGAGATTCTGAAAGGGGTATAGCATCAAGAATGAAAATACAAACCAAGCATTTGCCATGCTTTACAATATATGTATGTCAAAGGGACTTTGTTTGAAGACAAACTCAGATTATACAAGAGCAACATTTTATGATCACAATTACACAATAGTAAGGGTTGGAAAATGGTGGTAGGAATAACACATAAATTAGAGACTTTAAAATAAATGTCAAAGGAGAATCCTGTAAATATTTTGGCAAAACAAGACGAAGAACTGAGGAGCAAAACAAAGTGTCCATTATTTGCAAACGTTATCAAATGAACAAGATACAAATTGCAAGGGCATGTTTGCAGAATGCCTCATGATACTTTGGGAAGGGCAGCTCTCCAGTGTATGGCAGATGTAAAAAGGAGACAGGCAATCTAAGGAAACATGGAGAAGGACATTAGAAAGGGAAATGAAGGAAATGGGAAATAACATGGGATACCATAGGTGGAGAAGCAACAGACCAGCAGTAATGGAGATCACTTGTGAATGCCCTATGTATTAACAGTGTCATGAAGAGGATATAGACAGGGGCTGTTTTCAGAAATTTCTATGATAACCTTGTGAAAGAAAAACAGCTAGGAAGAGAATTTACTATCCAAGGATAGTTCTAATAGATATCCCTTTCTTTACTAGGGATTTGAATTGAGGCCATCTGATATGTAAGGCAGATGTTGCAACCCCAAAGCCTTCCCATGACAATCAAAATTAGCTGAAACTGTTAAATAGAAATAAAGTTAGTTGTATTTCTTTTTTTGAGAACTGCCATGGTATAGCAGCTAGAAACTGGCCTACTGATCAGAAGGTTGTGCGTTTGGGTCCTGACAGATCAAGACTTTCACAGGTGGCCCTGGCTCTCAGGTCAACCTAGTTTTGGGTGGGTAATCGGTACAGTCCTAAGAAGTAGAGGCGGCCAGCGTGATGCTAACCACATCACTTACCTAGTGCTGATTGGTCTATAAAATATAGGTCTACCCATTTATGTCAAACTGTCTACAGGTGTGAAAAAGGATACTTTGTATGTATATGTATGTATATAAATATGTGTGTATATATATATATATATATATATATATATATATATATATATATATATATATTATATATATATATATATATATATATATATATATATATATATATATATATATACTATATATATATTATATATATTAATATATATATATATATATATATATATATATATATATATATATATATAATTGGGGTCCTTTTCAGGACTTTGCAAACTATTTCCAGCATTGATTTGCTGTTTTCTGGTTCATCTAAGCAATGATCATTGGCTGGCCAAATGGTTTGAATGCTGCATTCTCATGCGGGAGACTTAGGTTCTACTCCTTGGGAAGGTGATGGCGGGTTTTACCCCTGTCTGGGACAAAAATAAGCACCTAACCTGCACACTTTGTGGCCACTGCACTAGCCACGCAGCCTTAAATCCTCAGACTCAAGACCCTCCTGCCCTACCTTACCCTAAAAGGTAGTGCATATAAGCAGTAATGACATTTTGCCATTGCTTTCTGAACTTGATGATGCTCATACCATTGTCCAGATCAGCACAGAGCAGTCCACTACCAATTCACCTGCTGCTGATTTTAAACTGTAGTATGTCGTAATTGTGAAACTGCATTATTGAATAATTATTCTCTGGAATATAACAGGTAAATTTAATTCTCTAACATAGTATTACCTTTTGCTATAAGGAAATAAATGTAATATTTCTCCCACTTTATAGCTGTAGTTATTAAAGAATATTTCTGTTTCAGATTCACCAAAGCTGAGTCTGTTACATCAAGAATTTGTTAACTTCATGACCGTAAACTCAATTCCTTGTCTTAGTTTTGGAGAGAATGCAAAAACAACATTTGGGCGCACTTTGCCAAAAGTTCTTGTAGTCCCCCTGGAATCAAGCGGTAAGTGGTCCTTTAGCTTATACAGATGTTATATGTTATAAGTGTATACAGATGTTATATAAGTGTATACAGATGTTATATAAGTGTATACAGATGTTATATAAGTGTATACAGATGTTATATAAGTGTATACAGATGTTATATAAGTGTATACAGATGTTATATAAGTGTATACAGATGTTATATGTTATAAGTGTATACAGATGTTATATAAGTGTATACAGATGTTATATAAGTGTATACAGATGTTATATAAGTGTATACAGATGTTATATAAGTGTATACAGATGTTATATGCTATAAGTGTATACAGATGTTATATAAGTGTATACAGATGTTATATGTTATAAGTGTATACAGATGTTATATGTTATAAGTGTATACAGATGTTATATGTTATAAGTATATACAGATGTTATAAGTGTATACAGATGTTATATGTTATAAGTGTATACAGATGTTATATAAGTGTATACAGATGTTATATGTTCTAAGTGTATACAGATGTTATATAAGTGTATACAGATGTTATATGTTATAAGTGTATACAGATGTTATATAAGTGTATACAGATGTTATATAAGTGTATACAGATGTTATATGTTATAAGTGTATACAGATGTTATATAAGTGTATACAGATGTTATATAAGTGTATACAGATGTTATATGTTATAAGTGTATACAGATGTTATATAAGTGTATACAGATGTTATATAAGTGTATACAGATGTTATATAAGTGTATACAGATGTTGTATGCTATAAGTGTATACAGATGTTATATAAGTGTATACAGATGTTATATAAGTGTATACAGATGTTATATGTTATAAGTGTATACAGATGTTATATGTTATAAGTGTATACAGATGTTATATGTTATAAGTGTATACAGATGTTATAAGTGTATACAGATGTTATATGTTATAAGTGTATACAGATGTTATATAAGTGTATACAGATGTTATATGTTATAAGTGTATACAGATGTTATATAAGTGTATACAGATGTTATATGTTATAAGTGTATACAGATGTTATATGTTATAAGTGTATACAGATGTTATATGTTATAAGTGTATACAGATGTTATAAGTGTATACAGATGTTATATGTTATAAGTGTATACAGATGTTATATAAGTGTATACAGATGTTATATGTTCTAAGTGTATACAGATGTTATATGTTATAAGTGTATACAGATGTTATATAAGTGTATACAGATGTTATATGTTATAAGTGTATACAGATGTTATATGTTATAAGTGTATACAGATGTTATATAAGTGTATACAGATGTTATATGTTATAAGTGTATACAGATGTTATATAAGTGTATACAGATGTTATATGTTATAAGTGTATACAGATGTTATATGTTATAAGTGTATACAGATGTTATAAGTGTATACAGATGTAATATGTTATAAGTGTAAACATATGTTATATTTTATAAGTGTATACAGATGTTATAGAAGTGTATACAGATGTTTTGTTATTAGTATACACATGTGTTATATATTATAATTGTAAACAGATGTTATATGTGTAAACAGATGTTATCTGCTATATTTTATTATTTCTTATGTGTAATCTAACCCTTAAACTCTTTCATGTTTATGGCATTGTGGTGCTGGGGTGTCTGTGGATTACCTTCCTCCCCGGACAGCAGCCAGAAGTGCGCTGTGTCAATTCTTAGGGGAATATGGATTGTGTTTCTGACTTCCTCTTTGACACGTAGCTAAGGTGGGGCTCACATTGTGCTCATTCCCCACCACCAGATTGCCTGCAGATTTTGCTGAGCTCTTCTGGCTCTAAGCATGGCCTAAGCATGAGTAGTTGGGGCAACTGGATCATCACATCCTGAGTTCCTGTGCCTTCACGATAGTTTCTGGTATTCAGGGGGTTAGCATACTTATTTCCATTTCTAAGACTGTTCAGCACCCCTCTGGATCGTGTTTCTGCCTTTCCCTTTAACACGTAGCTAAGGTGGGGCTCACAGTGTGTTCATTCTCCGCCATCCGAATGCCTGCATTTTTGCTGAGCTCTTCTTGGCTCTAAGCATGAGTAGTTGGAGCAACTGGATCGTCACATCCTGAGTTCCTGTGCCTTCATTATAGTTTCCAGTATTCAGGGGGTTAGCATACTTGCTTCTGTTCCTAAGACTGTTCAGCACCCCTCCGGCTCCTTCCTTCCCACAGGGGGCAGTACGGTGTGATGCACCAGGTTTTTTTATTAAGGTTGCTCCTCTAGATCCATTTTGTTTTGCCTGGGAATTCGCACTCCCCCCCCCCCCCCCCCCCCCCCCCCCTCAGTTACCAGGACTACCTCGGGGAGGGTGTGGCTCTTCGCCACGCACAATGGTCTTGGGGTAAGAGAGGTTATGCTAGGTTAAGAGGCTTACACCGCAATGGGCGCTCCTTTCGTGAATAGATATTCACTAGACCTAGGGTGAAGTAAGGGGGAGGGGGGGGGGGGGGGTGACCACTACCCACAACACCAACACTTCTTACCTCCTGCCTCTCGAGGCTCAGTCCCCAATCTAGCAATACGGCAGAGTCATGAAAATATAGAAAGTGGAGCCCAAAGACTTAATGGAGACCTTAAAAGACTGCATGAGTACTGCCAAAGATGGAAACTCAAGGTTAACTATACAGAGACGGTCTACACAATCTTTACTAAAAGCCATCAAGTAGCAAGGAAGAATATTAACCTAAGATTAGACAAGCACCAAGTGATGAAAGAAGAGCATCCTACATACCTTGGAGTCACACTTGACCGGCAGCTGAGCCTCAAGAATCATATTAAAAACATAAGGAATAAGGCATTGAGGTAGTTGCAGTTATTGAAGCGACTTGCAGGTACAGCTTGGGGATCAGACAAGGAAACTCTGAGGGGCTTGTATCTCGGATATGTTCGCTCTGTGATAGAGTATAACAACTCGCTTCTTGCAACCTGCTTCAAGACAAACCTAGAGTCTCTTGACAGAGTACAAAATAATGCCCTCCAATTAATCAGCGGAGCTATGCGGTCTACTCCAACTGCTGCATGTGAAATCCATACAAATGTGGAACCCCTTGGGTTGTGGAGAGAAAAAGCCACTTTAGAAATTTATGAAAGATGCATTAGAAAGAATCGTAACCATCCTAATAGACGCCTTATAGAAAATTGGGAATACAAACAGAGAATAAAGCACAAATCAGTTTTACACCATGTACATGAGGTACAGGACAGATACCACCTCCCAGAAACTTACCACCACATGCTCGCTTTAAAGCTTCAGAAGTCCGGTTGAAATTGGTAGATGAAAAAACTAAACAGTCCGATCCAATCACCCTTATGAACTCATCACTAAAGACCATTGATTCTTACCCCAAAGTATGGATACATGTTTATACTGATGGATCTGCATTCAAAGCTACCATTAAAGTAGGTTACGGAATCTACATAGGTTACCCTGATGGATCTATTGAAGAGATATTTGATGCATGTGGGGAATTCTGCTAAAATTATGAAGCTGAAATAATTGCACTGGAAACAGCAGTATACCACCTAAAAACTGTAATGGATGTTTATCCTTCAAAGGCCCAAAATATTGTCATCTTCACCGATTCAATATCTGCTTTTCAAGCTCCGGAGGGCAGTGAACGCTGCAGAACTGACATAGCTAATATAATTTTAGATGCTAATCAGCTCATTACATCATACAACATCAGAATAGTGATGCAGTGGATTCCAGGCCACTCTGGCAAACCAGGTAATGACAGAGCTGACAGACTGGCAAAGAGAGGAGCAACATAGGAACAACCACCTACAGCAACAACACTATAGACAGCAAAAACACTTAAAAAAGCTATAAACAGAGACTTGGCTGTACAGATGGGCCATGGGAGATACTGGAAGAGAGGTTTATAGACACATGGCTAGCCCTGATCCTAATGACAGTAATAACCATTTAACAAACTCAGAACACAACATACTCCACTCAAAGGACACCTAAACAGAATACAGCCACAACACTCCCCAGAGCACAAGCTATGTAACTACCCCTACGAAACTGTTGAACACCATCTCTTTGAGTGCCCAGAACTCAGTGAGACAAGAAGAACGCTACCCCCTCTAACGCCAGACAGGTGGAACACCTTGTACGGAGGAAAAGAACAGCTTGTAAAAACTTGTAAATTCCACTACATGGCATTTGGCAAAAGGGCGAAAGCTCATGTGCCGCTGGATCACTAACAACAACAACAACCCTTAAACTCCCAACATTTCTTATGTATAATCTAACCCTTAAACTCCCATTATTTCTTATGTGTGATCTGACCCTTAGACTTCCATTACTTCTTGTATGTGTTCTGGCCCTTAGACTACCATTACTTCTTAAGTGTGATCTGACCCTTAAACTCCTTTTACTTCTTGTATGTGATATGTTCCTTAACTCAAAGATAATATGACATTCTTGCTGTCCTCTATACATTCAGTCAGTTCAGTCCTAAAGTGTCTCCATTAAACTCTTTATACCCATATATTGATTTCTTTTAAACTTCCCTCCTTGGGAAAGAAGGAGTCGAAGTAACAACTTCATGGGACTGCCACTACTTTGTGCCTTTTTGTGTTTCAGATCCAGGAATTGGCAAGTTTGTCAGTGTGCCCAATGATCACATCAACACCTGCAAGCCATGCAGCAAAGATGACATTATCTACCAGCTGACCTGTTCCTTTGTCAGGGATATTCTTCACCAGATCAGAAGATAACAGCTGCCATTTTGCTCCTTCTAAAAATGCAGCATGTTTAAAGTGTGCTTTATCAGTATCAGTATCTTCATAATAAAAACATTTACAAATGTTGATAGATACTCTTTCATACAGGTCTGAATTTTTGGGGTGGGGGGGGGGGGGGGGGGGGCTTTGCTGCTTACATAGATGAAATATTAAAATTGAAGATGGTGGAGTAGAAGATAAAAACGTAAAGTTCAGTACATTACATCAGCATCTTATTAATTAATAAATTTACATATATTAATTTTATACTCTTATTTACGCTTGGCGTCTATAGTTTAGGTGTTGCAAATGTTCTTTATAAATCCAGGGTACCAGGGTCGATTCCAGCTGCAGATGATTTTGTAACAGGCCGCCTTGCATTAGTTTTGACAGTGGTATTGAGATGAAATACCACAAATGAAACCACAAACAGTGAAACAATGCTGGGAAAAAAAGGGGGAGGGGTGTGGTTCATGTTTATTCAACAGATCAACATCATGTCACACGGTTGTAACCCATAAGCGCTCTCTTCTACTTCTAACTCAAGTCTGAGTCTGAAGAATCTGAGCGCAGTGCACAAACTCTGTTGCACCAGCGGGGATCCTGAAATACTTTTTGGGTAGTTTTTTTAACTCCAAATTTTGTGGTTTGTGTATCAAATATGCAAGTAACTTTTAACTCTTATCTACACAGGGCTTATTATGAACTGATTGGGGACCCCTACCTTTTTTAGAAGATGAGATAAAGATGATAATGAATGAACAAATTAACTTCCCCCCCCCCCCCCCCCCCCAAGGGGTTCAGAATTGGGCATGCAGGTGATGGGGATGAAGGTGCCAAATACATCTTGCTTCTTTAGAAAATGAAATCAATAAGATGATACAGAATAAGATGCAGGAAATGCCAATCAATGAATACTTGTAAATATATTTATTCATCATGCTGTTTTAAAGGCCTTGACGATTTCACAGTTATTGATAATTCTTCATGTTGTTTGCATTAGCTTTAGCTTTCTACATCTGTTCATGAAGAAAGAGAAAAATACTTACAGAATTGCACAGTTGTGTCTGCTGTTGAAATATTACATTAGGATTTTGAAAACCTGAAAGCATTTCATTTTAAGTTTTATATCCTTGTTCTGTGACAGAAAATTATTTTTTTTTTTTTTTTTTTCAATGACACTTATTTGTGCCTTTGGCACATCAGGCATATGGTGTTAGACCTATATGTGTATACACCAGATGGCACTCGATGTGTGACATGGTTGGCACCATGCCTGCCACCCTGTCCAGGACATTACCTGGTACCCATTTTAGATTAAGTTGACCTGGAAACCAAGGTCAGCTTTCAGAAGAATATTCCACTTGATGCAGATTTGAACTCTCAGCCTTTTTGCCAGCATCAATCAGCTGTGCTAAAGCAGCTGCAAAATTACCAATAGAATGAATTTTTTCAGTGGCAAATACGAAATATTTTGTTTGCTTCAAAATATTGTGTATTATTAAATTTTAGCTATTCAGTGTTTTACTACTTTTAGCATAAAGTTCCATTTCTTTTGCAGAATTTGTCCATGAGAAAATAATATGGCTGCTTTCATATTCTTCACTTCTCATCATGATGTACTTGGCAGCAGTCTAGCAGTTGTTTAATTATCATTGGGTTGATGCAGTTAGTGATTGTGAAGGGTATCATGCTGTATTCTTGTACATATGTCACTGATGATTTGTCACTCTTCAAGTTTTTTATTTTTTATGTCATTACATTACCATTTCCAGTAATCAGTGCCTTTTGTCTTTGCTTGTAATGAATAAGGGCAATGGTTTTATATGCTTCTGATTTGAATTATAGCATTAAGAAATTTCTATATTTCTGTTGAGAATTTGTCTCCTGTTTCTTTCTTCTCCCATCTCTCCTCCTTCTTCTCTTAGTTTCTTTTTCTTGTCTTTTTTATCTTGCTCTCACATCAAGCCCTTTATGGATTGTTCATGATTAGTCAGTTTGTGTGATTTAAGCTTTGTGCAGGAAAGATTCACACCAACTGTCCTTAATCATCACCTCTTATAGGATGCAAGCAGGTTACAATCTTGCTATTTGTTTCTATAAACCCTGGTAACTTACTGTTTGTTTCTATAAACCCTGGTAACTTACTGTTTGTTTCTATAAACCCTGGTAACTTACTGTTTGTGTAACCTGGTAACTCTGGCGGGTCTGATCATTTTAACCCTGTAAATCATTCAGTAGAACCAAAACATGTATAGTAGCTAGTTAGACATACATCTTCTGATGCTACGGAATTTCATTATTAACTCACCGACTACCAAGCCCATTGACACTTGCACTTTCCCAGATGCAGCATATTTCTAGTATTTACTAACAATGCCACAGCTTCACAACTATTTCACCTTAACTCAGGGGGCTGTGTGGTCTCAAGGCATGGCGTGTGCCTCGTGCCATAGGTCCCAGGTTCAGGCCCTGATGAAGGCTGGGACTTTTTTCAAGTGGGCTTCTAGTAATTTCCGCTGGTTTCTGGGTAGTGAGATCAGACGCCCACGTGTATTGTTGTGCACGTAGAAAATCCCTTGACAGGTGAAAATCTAAAAGACTAGCCTAAAGGCGCTGCCCGGGCAAAATTTGGAGTTAAAAATCTACCCAAAATATTTCAGGATCCTCGCTGGCGCTATGGAGCCCGCACACTGCACTGAGCTACTTCGGACTTAGACTTGAGTTAAAAGTCAAACGGAGGACTATTGGTTACTACCCTTGTGCCATGATGTTGATCCGTTGTTCAAACCTCAAACTACAGACTTAACATAAACTCCAAATATTTTGTAGTTCTGGCACAAAACTGAATGGAGAACAAATTTCAAGAACAGTTGTGTAATCTTGTGTAGACACATTAACATCTGAACAGGGCCCTATTTAGTCCTAATTTAATGCGAGTTTCATTACGGTAAAGACAAACTATAAGCATTTTATATTACTATTAGTTATATTTTGCTGCTCACAAACCTTTGCTGCCCTGCACATGTTGCACCATGCTTGAATACAGCCCTGCATCTGAAAATTGTTATTTTAACATCTGAATGTAGATATTAACATCTGATATACAAATATGTTAACATCTGAAGAATTTTCATATTGTCTTAATATAGACACTTTAATATCTGAATATGGCCACATTAACATCTGAATATAGACACTTTAACATCTGAATCATAGCAGAGGAACAGGCAGGTTTCCGAGCTGGAAGAAGCACTGTTGAACAGATATTTAATCTACACATATCTGAGCAATACCAACAGCACCAAAAACATCTATGAGAAGTGTTCATTGATTTCAAAAAGGCCTTCGATAGAGTTTGGCATGCAGCACTCTGGGACACTATAAAAAAGTACAACATGGGTAAAACCTTCATACATACTATAGAAAATCGCTGTGCCAAGACCAGCAGTGCTGTCATTGAATTGACAAAAAGGAAGCTGGTTCTGAACAACAGCAGGAGTCCGGCAGGGCTGCCTCCTCTCTCCAACACTGTTTAACATCTTTTTAGAAAGAATTATGACCAATGCCCTAGAACAACATTATGGAACAGTCAGTATCAGAGGTCGAACTATAACAAACTTAGGGTTTGCAGATGACATCAATGGCTTGGCTGGAGAAGAACAAGAACTAGTCAAGCTTGTAAATCTACTCGATGAAACATCAGCCAAGTATGGCTGGGAAATGACATGGAAATAAACGCAGAAAAAAACAAAAGTAAGAATTTCACCAATCTACATTAAAGGTCACAAATTAGAACAAGCGACTCATTTCAAATATTTAGGATCCATTTTAAGTGACTGGGGGTCATGACCAGAAATCATGTCTGGAATTGCCTAGACAACATCAATCCTTTTCAAGCAGCAAACATTATGGAGATCCAAAATCATTTCATGCAAAACTAAGATTCATTTGCTCAGAGCACTAGCTATTAGTACATTTACATATTGCTGCAAAACGTGGACCTTAACTGAACTTGGAAGAAAGATACAAGCATTAAAAATGTGATGTTTCAGAACAATTCTTGGCATATCATACAGAGACCACATTGCAAGCAAAGAGGTTTGCCATAAAATTATACAGCACATTGGCAACTATGAACCTCTTTTAACTAGTGAAAAGGCGAAAAATTCAATGGTATGGACATGTAATAAGATCTAACGGCCTCTCAAAAACAATACTACGGGGCTCAGTTCTAGGAAGGAGGTGAAGAGGCACACCAAGAAAGACCTGGTTGCAGAGCTTGACTGACTGGACAGGCCTCAGGCATGCAACCATGAAGTAAATCGCAACTGACCGCCCAAGGTGGAGAGAGATGATCAGACAGTCAACAGAAACTGGTGGCTCAACGACATGTAGTGTTACGGGATGATGATGAACATCTGAATATAGAAACTTTAGCATTTGAATATGGACACATTAATATTTTAATATGGCCACATTAATTTCTGAATATAGACACTTTAATACGGCCATATTAATATCTGAATAGAAGAGACACATTAACATCTGATATGCATTTATGCTAACATCTGAAGAACTATCATATGATCTCAATATAGACACTTTAACATCTGATTATGGACACATTAATATTTTAATATGGCCACATTAATTTCTGAATATAGACACTTTAATATGGCCATATTAATATCTGAATAGAAGAGACACAATAACATCTGATATGCATTTATGCTAACATCTGAAGAACTATCATATGATCTGAATATAGACACTTTAACATCTGAATATAGACACTTTAACATCTGAATATAGACACTTTACCATCTGAATATAGGCACATCAACACCTCATTTACAAACATGTTAACATCTTAATAATTGTCATATCATCTGAGTATAGACAGTTTAACATCTGAATATAGACCTTTTAACATCTGATTAATCTCAGTAGAGACAATTTTATCATCTGAATAGATACCTAACATCTGAATA